TTCTTTCTTTTTTTTGAGTTAGAGTCTCACCCTGCCCAGGCTGGAGTGCAGTGGCATGCTCACAGCCACCTCAACCTCAACCTACTGGGCTCAGGTGATCCTTCCACCTCAGTCTTCCAAGTAGCTGGAATGACAAGTGTGCACCACCATGCCTGGCTAATTTTTTAATTTATTGTAGAGACCAGGTCTCATCAAGTTTCCCAGGCTGATCTTGAACCCATGAGCTCAGGCAGTCCTCTTGCCTCTGCCTCCCAAAGCTGGAATACTTTCAATAGGATTGGTATTAGTTCCTCCTTGTATATTTTGTAGCATTCTGCTAGAAATACATCTGGTCCAGGGTATTTTTTTTTTTTTTTTGTAGGAAGGTTTCTTATGACAGAGTCAATTTCCTGGATTGTTACTGGTCTATTTAGGATCTCAATTTCTTCTTGTTACAACCCTGGGAGGTTGTATGACATCAGCAAGTCTTCCATTTCATTTAGGTTATCAAGTTTCTATACAGGTGTGCATAAATATCTCTAATAATCATTTGTATTTCTTTGGGGTCATTTGTGACTTGAACTTTTGCATTTCTAATTGTGTTTATTTGGGCTTTTTCTTGGCCATTCTGGCTAGGGATCCATCAATCTTGCTTAAACCTTTCAAAGAACCAGCTTTTTGTTTCACTGATTTTTTTCTATGGTATTTTTGTCTTCGATGTCCTGTATCTGGGCTTTTACATTGGTGATCTGGATTCTTCTGCTGAATTTAGAGTTTTGGTGGACTTGCCTTTCCAAATCCCTTGGGTGATTTTTAGACTAACTTGTTCTCTTCCTATTTTTTTGATGTGCACTCATAGAAATTTATATTTCCCTCTTAGTACTGTGGTCAATGCATCCCAGAGCTTTTTGTAAGATGTTTCTTCATTTTCATTTGTTTCCAGGAATCTTTTATGTTTTGATTTCTGTGTTGATCCAGGAGTTGTTCAGCATCATGCTGTTTAGTGTCCATGTCTTTGTGAGTTTGGGGGGAATTCTGTAAGTGGTGATATTTATTTTTATTCCACTGTGGTCTGAGAAGGTGCATGGCAGTATTGGAAGCATGTGAAATTTGTTTATGATTGATTTATTAAGGGTATGGTTGATCCTGGCATATATTCCACGTGGTGATGAGTAGAATGCATATTCTGTGGTTGTTGGGAGGAATAGTCTGTAGATATCTACAAGTCTATTTGGTCACATTTCAAGTTGAGGTTCCAGATCTCTTTGTTGATTTTCTGGCTTGATGATCTATCTAGGGTTGTTAGTGGGGTATTTAAGTCTCCAGCTATGATAGTGTTAGAGTCAATATCTTTTATTAGTTTACTTAGTAGCTGGTTTGTCCATAAAAGTTAGTCCTCCTGTGTTGGGTGCATATATGTTTAAGATGAATATTTATTGTTGATGAATAGAACCTCTTATCATTATGCAGTGTCCTTCAGTATATTTTTAAATTTTTGATAATTTAAAGGTTGTTTTGTCTGACATTAGGATCATGACTTCTGCCTTTTCTGATCTGTTCACCTGAAAATTTGTTTTCCATCCTCTTTGTGTCTGCTGACATCCTTTGTTGTGAGATGAGTTTCCTGGAGACAGCAAATTACTAGGTAGTGTTTTTTAATCCAGTTTTTTATTCTATGTCTTTTCAGTAGTGTGTTTAGTTTGCTCACATTCAGGCTGATTATCTAAAAGTGAAAGTTTATCCCTGTCACAGTGCTCTTATAAGGCTATTTTGTTTTCGTTTAGCTTTTGTGTTCATATATGTGTGTTTTCATTTCTGTGGGCATGCTGTGTGTTCTGTTGCTTCTGTGTTTGTGATCTTGTGAAGCATATGGTCTTTCTTTTGTATCTTTTTTCTTCTGTGCACAGCACCTATTAAAACATCTCCTGTAGAGTTGGTCTTGAAGCAGCATACTCTCTTAGGGATTGGCTGTCTGGGAAGGATTTTAATTCTTCACTGCTGATGAAGCTTAGCTTGGCTGGGTAGAAAATTCTTGGTTGAAATTGTTTATCTTGGCCAGGCTCGGTGGCTCAGCCTGTAATCCCAGCACTTTGGGAGGCCAAGGTGAGTGGACTGCCTGAGCCCACGGGTTCAAGCTCCCCCTGGGCAACTTGGCGAGACCTCATCTCTACAATCAATCAAAAATTAGCCGGGAGTGGTAGTGCATGCCTGTAGTTCCAGCTACCTGGCAGGCTGAAGTGGAAGGATCGCAGGTCGAGGCTGCGGTGGCCGGAAGCGGCCACTGCACTCCAGTCTGGGTGACAGAGTGTGACTCCAACTGAAAAAACAAACAAACAAAAAAGGAAATTGTTTATCTTTAAGAACATTAAATATTGGGGTCCAATTCCTTCTGGCCTGTAGTGTTTCTGTAGATAAAGTCTTCAGTAATTCTGATTGGCCTCCCCTGGTATGTAGTCTGACCTTTTACCCTTGCTGCCTTTAGGAATTTTTCTTTTATTCCTACTTTGTGTAGGCGAATTATCATGTGTCTAGGGGTTGGTCTTCTCATAAGACATCTTGCAGGGATTCTCTGAATTTTTTGTGCTTGTATAGTTATCTCTCTGGCCAGATGAGGGAAGTTTTCTGGAATGACCCCATGGAATGCTTGTTCCAGGGTGTTTTCTGTTTCTCTATTTCAGGTAGTCTGATTAGATGTAGGTTTGGATACTTGGTAAAATCACACATCTCATGGGAAGTTTCTTCTTTCTTTTTTCTTCTATATTATTAATAGATTGGGTTAATTCCACATTTTTGTCTTCTAGCTCTGAGACTCTTTCTTCTCCTTGGTCAATTCTTCTTCCCATGTTTGTCAGTTTATTTATTTCTTGGATAGAGTTCTTTATCTCTTTTATTTCTAAGTATACTTTCATGAGTTTGTCCAGCTCTGTTGCAAATTCGTAAGTTTTAGCCCTTGCAATTCTTGATTTTTATTCATTCTAGTCAATGATTCTCTGATCTCTGTAAGTACCTTCTGGGTACTTCTGTTCTTAGAGATGGCCATTGTTTGTGCCCTAGCAGCTATTCTTTCTATCATTGACTTGTTGCTAGGGCTCTGATGGTTACCAGCAGTTCTTCGTTGATTTTTCTTCATTTGTTACAGTTCCTTTACCTTCCTCTTTAATTTCATTGCTCAGTGGAAAATGGAGAAGCAGTTACTTCTGATATTTGCTCTACCTTTTGTCCTTCCTTGAGTCGGGGCTCCAGATTTGTTCAATTATGAAGCAGGGCTGGGGATGGGGCATGGTACTGTCTCTTTACAATTCTGAACACTTACTAACAGATGTTGGGGAGGGCTGCAACTATTCAAACCCTATTGGCAGGTCATAATGTTTACTATCTGGTGAATGGGACAGCTGGGACTTGCTCTCCATCTCTGCACAATATGACCTTATGGTAGATATGCTTGCACTGCCCCTGAGTCCAAGACAGGGTATAAGTGGCAACAGAGAGGGGAGAACGAGACAAAAAAGGGAAAGGAGGAGGAAGGAAAAGAAGAAAAACAGAAAAAGAAACACATACACACACACACACATACACAGAGAGAGAAAAAAGAAAGAGAAATAGAATAAGGAAAGAAAAGAGAAACCAATGAGCAAACAAAGCAACCAAACAAGATAAACGAATCAACCATCACTACCAGCCTTCTTCTTGGTCAGTTCCACTGTCTATGTCTATCATCCAGCAGCTGTCTCAGGGTGAAAAGTGGATCGTCTGGGGTTCTGCATCTTCTATTACATGACAGGGCTTGTGCACTGGGGGCAATGTTCTCTGAGGTTGCAAAGAGCAGCCCCAACACAAAAGAGATCAGCGCCTGGCCTCAAGATACAGTTCTGCCGTTTCACAGAGGCTGCCCTGGAGCTCTTCTCTGCCCAGGTTTTAGAGAGGCTGCTCAGTTTCTCTGCTGGCTGCTATTCCTGCCACTATTGGGGTCAATAGCTACCTCCCCAGCAGTTACCAGTCTACGGATCTCAGGACCCGGTGGCAAGACTCTGGAGTCCAGTTCAGGCCCCACTGCTTCCTTAGAAGTCTGCCTTAGGCTCCCTCCCTGTGTTCCCTCCATGGCCTTCACTGCCAGCATTGAACTCGCTCCAGCAGTTCTTCCTGGGAAAGGCTTCCAGCTTGTCTGCTGCTAAGTCTCCAACTCTGATTGCATGTGTCTGTGTCTGGTCCAGTGTAGGGGTGGGGCATCTGTCTCTCGTATCATATGCTTGAAGTGTCCTCTCCGGGCAAATGATGGTCAATTACAGAAGGTTGCAGAGATCACCTCAGTCTCAAGTTGCAGTCTGCTCAGGAGTCAGGCTGCTCAGAATTGGGCAAGATAAAGCAGGTTTTGCCCAGTCCTGGGACACAGAAATGGTGGCAGGCTGTGTTTTTCCCTCTGGCGGGGCTCAGCCCCAGATTTCCTCCTCATGCTTTCTCTACAGTCCCTGCTGCCACTGCCTGGCCTGTTGCTACAGGTGGTGGTATGGGCCAGGGGCCAGGTGTCAAGAGGCAGCTAACCTCTTCTTATTTTTCCCGAGAGATGCCCTGGAGATGGTGAATCCTTCTGTGCACAGCGGGTGCCAAATTCAGGCAGCAGCAAATTGCAGTGTTCCTGCGGAGGGGCTCCGGGTGCTTGATCCCATGTCTCCTCTCAATTGAACATCTGCTCACCCACTTGCACACACAAATGGACACAATCTTTTTGTACATTCACTCATGCAGAGACTCACACTCTGACCAGATCTGTCACCATCTTGCCCCTTTCCTCCAATTATTGTTTTTTTATTATGTTCTCCTTTATCTATATCAAGGCTATCATACTAATTATTCTCATTTCCATCAGAAAGGAAAAAATAAAAATATAAATGCTGTGATATGTGTTTACTACCTAAATTGTTTAAAAAGCTACTCGTGGGTGCCTATAAAATCCAATCATGACAAATACATAAAGGATACATTAAAGAAGACTCAAAATTAATATACTTAAAAGGGAAGAATACCTTTATGCTCAGTAGATATTCACAAACAGCAAAACAAATGCCAATGCCTTCTTCTGTATTAGTACCTCTGCCAAGTTCATCAATTAATATGAGTGATTTGTCATTTGCATTATGTAGAATATATGCTATCTGAAAAATATAATTTTAATATTATTCATTGTCACCAAACAGCTGTCGTTCCCACAGAAAAAAAGTGAGGGGAAACCGGTCTTTTTATTAGTTCATTTAAAATGTATTTTTACAGAGAAATCCTGCTGAGCAGAAAATAATATTGTTTTTTTTCTAAAAATTTAATGACTGATAATTCCAATGGAATAGCTGATGTGTACATAAATAGACATATGCATAAGTGTATGAGAACACAGAGTAAATAACCATTTTATAAAATATTGATGCCTGGATACCATGAAATAAAGGAAAGCAATGAATTAAATGTTTAAATAAAGCACAAAGATGGTCATGTTATTCTCCACAAACAACTAATCAATTGCTGACATAAAATACTCAAAATATCTCTCAAATTCATTTAAATACCTCTCTATATCCAATTAAGATGAAAAGAAAAATATCTGAGTCTTACAATGTGCACAAGGAGGGGGGTGGGTACACATAAAGCCTAGACCAAAACTATTTGTGTCCTCTAAAGTTATTGAAATAAAAATAATAATAAAATATTTTTAAAAATTTTAAAAGTACCCAAGTCTTAATTCTTAGTTTAACAAATGAATTTAAAACCATGACCAACCTAGATCAAGACTTAAGTTGACAGAAATGCTCCTTCTCCACTGAAGATTATTAATATTTTCTCAAAAAATAGAATTTCCCCCTTATTATATTATGACACAATAGTAACTTTCATAAGCATTTTGGCTTTCTATAAGACTAAACTTCTAAGGACTAGGATCTTTTAAAAAATATACCTCAAGTATCCAGTATATTGCTACACTCTCTTATATTTAATACATAATAATTACATAAACTGTGGGACAAATAACAACTTTATTCATCCCTATCTACATGTAAAAAATGATCTAACTTTGTAGTGACCCAATAATTCTTACCTAAAACAGATATCCCAAGAGCTATATTTAATTCCTTTAGCCCTCAAGCCTATTTCATGTTTGCTCAGATCAGAAATAGGTGATGATACAAAAAAAATTCTATAAAAATAAAGAAGATAATTTTAAAACTTTCTAACACACTGATCTTTTATTTTAAAATCAAGCCTACGGGTTCAAGATCAACCCAGGCAATTTGGCAAGACCTCATCTCTACAATAAATCAAAAATTAGCCAGGCATGGTAGCGTGTGCTTGTAGTTCTGGCTACTTGGAATGCTGAGGCAGAAGGATCACTGGAGCCTGGCAGGTTCACGCTGGGGTGACTATGAGCATGCCACTGCAATCCAGCCTGGGTGGCATGGTGAGAGTCCAACTCAAAAAGAAAAAAAAAATCAAGCCTAGCAGGAACAATAAATACTATGCAGAATGGTATTAAACTAGTTATCATTTTCTGAAAAGTCTTTTACATATTCCTTATACAAACATTTAAGCACTTGTATTACTCAATAACACTAGCTTTTTCTTTTAAAACTGTATTTTTCAATAAAGCATTCCCTTTCATTAACACAGAAAATAAAAATTATGAAACTGTCTTTGACTGCCCTCTGGCTCTGAAAAGGGGGTATAAGCACAAATGCATGTTATAGTATATTTTCTTACATGATGATTCACCATAAGTGGGAGAATTGAACGCATTTTTAACATAAGAAAAGTTTTGTTTAAGTACCTCTTTCATTTCCTTCATAAACGTTGATGAATTTGTTTCAATATCATCATCAGTACTAATTCTTGTGAAAATCTGTTCAGCAATTCTAAAGGAAGAATATTCTGCTGGAACATATGATCCTGTAAAATGAAAGGTCAAGATACATTGAAATGGTTTTATAAAATGTAAATACTAACAACATTTTGTACTTCTCAGATTCTTTACTAGAATTAAATCAGAGCAGTATTAGATATGGAGTCAGAAGACTCAGCACAGTCCCAGCTCTATCACTTGTTGTATGACCTTGGACAGCACCACGTCTTTCCCATATATAAAGTGAAATACTGGGGGGGTACCAAAAAAATGCATACACATGTTAAGAGATGTTTGCCATAATGAGAAGTGTCTGGAAGCTGAAAGTAACCACTCTGAGCACCTCTTGCAATTGCAGAAGTCAAACATGATTTGTATTCATCTTTTGTTATCAGTATATATTGAGTACTACAATTTTTATAGTGTTTTCTTTTCTTAAAATGTATATACTTTTTGTCACCCTTTGTAACTGTACAAAGTTATTTAGAAATTCAAATAAGACAGTATAAGTTCAAGTACATTAGAAAGAGACTGAATTTCCTAAAAATTTTAAATAATTTAGCTAAATGATAAAGAACATTCAAAATATTACAATTTGAAGATGCTTATAAAGCTTATAAATATATGCCAACCACACTGATATGATCACTATACATTATATGTATCGAAACATCCCTATGTACTTCTTAAATATATACTATATGTCAATTTAAAAATAAAATATTAAAAAATATGAAAATTTGAGGGAAATGTCTATAAAACTCAAGTTGGTAAAATTATTGTAGAAAAATATTAGGAAACGTCTATGTTATTACATCTATGCAGAAATATCTAGAAGCAAAACGAAAGCAAAACATTTAATAAATAGAAGTAAATTTCATCCACAAGACTTTCTGTCTAAGAGGTTACTGTGCTAACTAATCTAAAATAGTTATCCTTTTAAAAATAAAATCTGATTAATGCATTCATCTCTATGCAAAATGATATATAAAAGGCATTCTAATCTCAAAAGAAGATCTAAAACACAAATAGTTGAATGGGAAAAGTATCACATATACTAAACTCTGTGCAGATAAAATGGTGAAAAATGACAGCAATAAAACCAAAGCCAAACAAAGGTAAGTATAAAGAATCGAGCCCAGCTCTGAGGAATAAAGACCAGCAGGGGGAAAAGAGCAAAAGTTAGGTTAATGGAATAAAAATAAAAGTAAATTTTTTTTTAGTCAAGGCCTTACTCTATCACCCAGGCTGGAATACAGTTGTATGAGCACAGTTCACTGCAGCATTGACCTCCAGGGCTCAGGTGATCCTTCTGCCTTAGCCTCCTGAGTAGCTGGGACTACAGGTGCACGTCATCATGTCTGGCTACTTAAAAAAATTTTTTTTGTAGTGATGCAGTCTTGCTATGTTGCCCAGGCTAGTCTCAAACTCCTGGTCTCAAGTGATCTCATGCCTCAGCCTCCAAAGTGCTGGGATTACAGGCTCGAATCATCATGCCCCACCCTAAAAGTAATATGACAACAGAAATAGTAATGACTGCACCTACCATTTCATACAGTAGGTATTTTATAGTCATTGTCTGTAATTCTGAAAATAATCCATTAAATTAGGTATTATTTTCCCTCATTTTAACAATGAAAAAGTGGAGGCTTAGGATCACAAAACTAATAAGATGTACTTCCTTCATGCTACTCTATTTTTTTCATTTTCTGAAAAGCATGAATTATAAACCCAGAGTAACTAACTCATTATAATTATCTCATGATAAATGTTTGCTGAAATAATAAACCGATAGAACCATAATTTGAATCAGAACTGTCTGGCTCAAAACAAAAACAAACTATCCATTTTCCCAAGATGCCAACAATGATATCTGTCTTCTTAAGATTCCAGAGAAAGGTGGGAAAGTTTGCTGATTTAGAGCAAAGATTCTAGAGTCTGTCTGCATAGGTTTGAATCCTGGTGCTGTTTCTTTCAGGTTCTGTGATCTCAGGCAAATTATTTCTCAATGCTTTGATATATGCTTTTTTATGAGTTTTAATTAATTAATACATGGGTTATGATAATACATGCAAGCTACATACAAAAGAGACTGACATAATGAATACTCACTATTAGCTATTAGGATAAGTGGGATTGACTAAGGCAAAAAACTGATACTAGGTGATCCTGAGCAAGTCTCTGAGCTTGACTTTCTCATTTTATAGCCATTCAATACATTTTTATTTTTATTATTTTAGAGAAACAATCTTACTCTGTCACCCAGGCTGGAGTGCAATGACTATAGCTCACTTCATCCTCCAACTCTTGAGCTGAAGCTATCCTCCTGCCTCAACCTCCTGAGAAGCTAAGAGCACACATGCATGCCACCGTGCCCGGCTAATTTTTTTAAAAATTTGTGCATACTGTGGTGGGAATGCAAACTAGTGCAACCTCTTTGGAAGACAGTGTGGTGATTTCTGAAAGAACTAGAAAATGACCTTCAATATGACCTAGCAATCCCCCTATTGGGAATATACCCAGAGGAACCCAAATTATTCTACAAAAAAGATACCTACACATGCATGTTTGCTGCAGCTCTATTCACAATAACAAAAACATGGAACCAGCCAGGCTTGGTGGCTCAGCCTGTAATCCCGCGCTTTGGGAGGCAGAGGTGAGTGGATTGCCTGAGGCCGCGGGTTCAAGACCTGCCTGGGCAACTTGGCGAGACCTCATCTCTACAATAAATCAAAAAATTAGCCGGGTGTGGTAGCATGCGCCTGTAGTTCCAGCTACTTGGAAGGCTGAGATGGAAGGATCGGGAGCAGCCACTGCACTCCAGTCTGAGCGACAGAGTGAGACTCCAACTAAAAAACGAAACAAAACAAAACATGGAACCAACCATGCTGCCCATTGAAGCTGAACTGGATAAAAAAATGTGGTACATATATACAATGGAATATTATGCAGCCATAAAGAAGGACAAACATATGGACTTCACAGCAACTTGGGTGGATTTAGAGTCTATCATACTCATGGTCTATCACAGAAACAAAGAACAGAGTACCATAGGTTCTCACTCATAAGCAGACCTTGAACAATTATCATAATACTATAAGAAAGGGATTGGCAGTACTGGGAAACTGTCAGGGAAGGGGGTGGAATGGAAGTTGAGGGAAACTTCCAGGGAAGGTAGGGACACACCTCATCGACAACGGTACCTGCATAATGAACATTTGTATACCTAACCCTGAATTGTACCCCACATCTTTAAAATAAATTTTTTTTAAAAATTGTGTATAGATGGGGTCTATGTTGCCCAGGCTGGGCTTGAACTCCTAGCTAATTGATCTTCTTCCTTGGTCTCCCAAAGTGCTAAGATGACAGCCATGAGCCACTGTTCCCAGACTCAATAAATGTTTTTTGAAGGCCTTCTATGTGTTAGGGTGAATAAAATAGACATGGGCCCTGCCCTCAGAGAGCAGAACTCATTGATCTCTTAAATACAAAGTTCTTACAGAGTTTCAGAAGGATTAAATAGGAAAACAAATGTAAAAGTGCCAAGTAGAGAACTTACCACATGTTATTAATTGGTGTAGGTTTTCATTTTCTCTTAACCTCTGCCAAAAGATTTCCAGTATTTCTTATCTCGGGTATTACAGAAGCCTCCTGGATGGTATTTCACTTCTAGTCTGGCTCTTGTCTACGCACCAGCCAGTGGTCTATCCAAAAGTCAAATCCGACCATGCCATCCTCTTGCTAAATGTCTTTGGTAGCTCTCTACAGATTACTGGACAAAGCTTAACCTCCTCAGGGAAGAACCTCAGGTACTCCATGATCTAACTCCTGCCCATCTCTTTAGTTTCACATCCTATCACCTCTCATGGTCCCTCTTTGATCCATAAAGTAAAGAAGCTACAAAGCCCTTTGAACTGGTTTTTGCTTTTGTGCTTTAAAACTTACCTCAGCCTGGAAAGTGTCTTTTTCATATCTTCCCCTTAAAGCCACAGCACTTTATTTATCTCACTTAGTCCTAACAATTCTAAGAAATAAGTACGATTATATTATTCACTTGAAGATAGGAAAACTATGGCTCAAAGAGGTTAGTTAATTTGTCCAAGATTAACAGCTAGTAACTGGACAAACTAGAGCTACCTCCAAAGTCTATGTTCTTAACATCCATGCCTTTTAAACCCCGCTGTTGCCTTTATAGTTAGACCATAAGAGATATTAAATGTACTTTTAGGTGTTGCAGAGGTTTAAGATGACAAGAGAAGTAGAATAATTATCTTCAAATATTTAAAGAGGTAATAATATCAGGAAAAAAGACCAGGTTATTCTATGATACATAGAATTAGGACTAATGAGTAGAAAGTATAGAAAGTCAGATTTCATCAGAATGAATGAAATAGTGCTTTAACAGTTAGAGCTGTCCAGCAATTGGTCAGCCTGTTTTTTTAAAGACCAAATCTCCTCATGGTTATTCAAATAGGAGTATTTTGTTTTATATGAATCATAAAGTATTCTTATAAGGGGAGGAAATTAGCTAAGAAGTCCTTTAAATCCCAGTAAAACTCTAAACTCAATAAAACACTGACTCTTTCTCAACTTATTCATTTTATGTCCTTTCTCAGTTGTAAGGATGAATCTGTGCTGCTCCACCAATGTCATCACAGTCTTGTTCCCTTTACACCATGACAGTCTGATGCCTTGAGCTCAGTTTTTCTTATGTTGGGGGTGGGGGCTGTTCAGTGCACTGCAGGGTATTTAGCAGCCTCCCTGGACTCTGGACTCCCCTCAGTTGTGACAACCCGAAATGCATCTAGAAACTGCCAAGTTCTGGGGGCTTGGGGACAGGGATCAAAACCATCACTGGTTGAGAACCACTTCATCAGGGCCAAGCTTCTCATTTCTGAGCCATAGAGTCCTCAAGGAAACCCAGTTTTCAGAGATAGGAGTTAAGTTGTGCCTCTACATACATCAAGGGATATGTGATGTTGGGTCAATGAGAACCATTTAGAGGTGTGTATGCACATGGGTGCAAATAACATATCGATTACTATGGCCAAGTTATTGGTACCCCTCAAATTAAGGGAAATATTTCCCTACCCAATGTTATAATTTTAGAAAAATTTCACATGAGTTATTAAAGGTAGCAGCTTAGTCTACTCATTTCAATTTCCTCACAACAAAATTTGTTTTTGAAATAAAAATTATGATTCAGCTTAGTAATAATTTATACAAATTTAAGTTATTATAAGGATGCTCTTACTTCTGTAATATCCCAGAAAATGTTTAGTGCAATGTAATCCAAATTATATGGAGCTTAATACATACCAAATAGTAAAAATTACAGCCTACACAGTAGATGCACTATTAATGCTCTTAAGTAAGAGAATCTACTCCAAACTCTTCTTGGGTTAATTAGGCACCGGAACCTAAACAATCAGGCACAAAACACTTTTAAAAGGAGTCAAATTAGTAACTATGAAGTAAAGCCTTAACTTACCTATCTGGGCCATAATCTGACAAAGAGCAATCTGCTTTAAATACGTGGATTTTCCACTCATATTTGGTCCAGTTATGATCAAAAAATTACTCCCTTCTGTAACATAGGCATTGTTGGCAACAGGTTTTTCCACAGATATTTTTTCAAGAATGGGATGCCATCCCTGTTTGATTGCTAAAGTATCAGTAAACTCTGGCCGAACTGAAGAAAAAAAAATAGAATGTTTTAAAAAACTTAATATATTTATATCCAAAGATTTTGTGGTGTGTATGTACTCTGTGTACCTTACTGATTTACTAGGGTCGATTTTAACATTATAAAATATTTATTATGTCACCCCAAAATTCCTCTGAATTATAATGGACACACTCTGATTATTATCACAACTTTTATTTAGAAAACTCTATAATTCAGATCCTTGTCACTGCCCTGGGATCCAATAGTTATACAAGTTTTAGATTTGTGGAGATCAAAAGGAACTGAGTGGTCACTGGTAATACTTTTAAAGTAACAACTGACTACTGGTGCTACAGAACTGCACATTTCCTTAACCCTACCTTAAACATTATTTCAAACTTGGCATATTTAGTTTTTAAATTGAAGTATGAGGATAGAGCAAAAACAAATATAAAAATAATTTTCCCCTAAGTTAGTGAGAAATTTTGTCTAAAAGGAAATTTCAGAGAATAGAGAAAATCAGACACAACAGATTTGTTAATTCACAGAAACAAATAATGATCAGGTCTCTGGATATCATCTAAGGTAGACAGAGGAGGAAGAGGGTGAAAGGACAAATTAAAACTAAAATGCTACATACCTCTAACTAAAATGCATAGATAAATCTGAGAACATTTATCACAAATGTGAGGTTGAATAGGAAAAAATTTTAAGTATTTTAAAAAATTCATTATGTATAGGTTTGGTGTTTCAGAGTGGTCCCTCTCAAATTAAAATGAAGTAATGCTAATAGTTTTAAAAACTACATTAGAATAGCTGGACTCTAAAATAAAGTTTTAAAACAAAGAGGCTATAAAAGACAAATAAAATACAAGTGGCTCATGCCTGTAATTCCAGCACTTTGGGAGGCCAAGGTGGGAGGACTGCTTGAGCCTAGGAGTTCAAGACCAGCCTAGGCAATATGGTGAGACCTCACCTCTACAAAAAAAAAAAATTAAAAAATTAGCTAGGCATGCTGGCATGCGCCTGTAGTCTCAGCTACTCGGGAGACTGATGTGGAAGGACCACCTGAACCCAGAAGGCCAAAGCTGTAGTGAGTCATGATTGTGCCACAGCACTCCAGCCTGGGCTACAGTGAGTGAAACCCTGACTTTAAAGAAAATTTAAAAATTAGTATTTCTATAAAACATATAAAAATATAAAAAATATTCAAAATATTGTCTACAATTATTCAGTCAGAATGATCATACACTAGTCCTGTACATTTTCATACAAGAGTATGGTTATTACTGATAGGTTGGATAAGAAATTTCAAGAGGCTAACTCAAAGTATTCTTTCAACACTAAAAAATTACTTAATATTTATATCCAAGACATGTGCATAGACTTGGCATACAAAAATAAATGACATAATTCTTACTCTTGTTATGTTCATATCTAAAGAGCTAGTGAATGGAAAGCCTCACCTAGGAGATTCATTTCACTCTATTAATATTTATTTATCAAACTGCTTTGATGAGGATTCAGGTTTGAACTTCATAAATTTGGATCACTGTCATTTTCACCAAGGAAACAGCTCTGTAGTCTTTCTTATTTGGGGACCCTTTCAAGTTTCCTAAAGTATTCTTCTTGTTCATGTGCCAATTTTTGAGTAAATAATTTTTTGACTTTCAAAAAAAACTGTAAGGGTAATTTCACTTTCTCTATTTTGTGTCTTAATCTAGGACCATAGGCAAGAGATTTTATATTTCAAGTAAAAATAGTTGAAACAATCATGACTATTATATAACACTGTTTGAATGAAATACAGTTTCAGTATGCAACATGTTTATTCCAAAATAAAGTAACTTACCATAGTCAGAAAGAGTGCAGGCATGAGCAAATGACAGGAGCATATCCAGCATTGACACCGTGTCAGATAGTTTATATAAACAATGAATATGTTCATAAATCTCACTAAGCAGTTTACACACTATCCTGAAAGTACATGTTTGGTAAGACATGAAATAATGTTTTTTTCAGAAGGGACATACAATGTAATTGTACAGTAATATTAAATTCACTGCCTGAGGTAAAATAATATTCACAGTCAAACTGTACACTGCAAATAAAGTCTATTGTTCAACTGTCTCATTTTAGAGATGATGAAATTGAAGTTTTTGTTCAAGGTCACAGCTACTTAGTGGCAAAGGATCCCTCTTGTGGTATATTAACACCATATTTTTTTAAATGACTGCTTTCACTCAATATTAATAAAATAAATGTTATAAATAAAAATATTTTATATAGGTCAAGTCAAGCCCTCACCATACTTGGAAGGATTCTATCTGCTAATATTTTTGTGTTTCAGCAAATGTTAAATACAACACAATAGCTATTATGTACTTTCTCTCTCACCCATTTTTCTCTTTCCTTTTCTTTCTCACATACATACAGACATATCTGAATAATTATTTTGTTTCTTATGAGTTATACTGTGATGTACTGCAAAAGTTTTTATCTTTCAAGGATAAACATATACCCACACCTTACTATATGACTCTGGTGCATGTTCTAAAATTGTTTTCAAAGTTCAATCTTTCTCTTTATTATCTCAGTCTAGTAACTATCCCAAATGTTCTAGCTCTTCTTTCTAGCTATATTACTACTGTTTCGTGAACAGCAAAAGAACTGGCACCATTGAAGTATCAGGGTATGAAAGCTGAGGGCTCACAGGCCGCAGGAGAAGAGTAAACTGAATGAAACCCAAGATTGGCCCATGATGTGCCAAGTTCTACGTAATTGTGGGATGCATATTATAGAAACATCAATTATAATAGTATTTTTTTTGCAATTAGATTCGCCCTAAAGCTTCTGTGAGGCTCAGTGATTCTAATCACAATGATACACTTTATTTGCTAACATTCACAATTCTACAATTGTCTGTAATCATACAAAAAAATGGACCAATAAAATGTATCATAGTTCCTCAAATTAAATCAATTTAATTCAATATTCAAATAATTCAAGGGCTCTTACATATATGTCATGTGATAGATTTCTCTCAAAGACTCTTGGCATCTTTCATTCATTTTAATTAAATCTGCTGATGTAAAGCTATAGGAATTTTTCACTTTAGACACCTGCTAGGAAATTAAAAACAAATGTCAAGTACACACTCCTATGAAATAAAATATGCAGATTTTAAACAATAGAAATATAGGTATGTAGGGTAAACATTTTAACTTTTAAGATATAGTATCATAAATAAAGTTATAAATAATGTTTGCAAAAGATAAAAAGGAAGACCACTTCAAAGGATTAAGCAGGATTTTTTTAAAAACCTAATCCACTTGACATGATTATTGTTAAGGGGTCTCATAATGTTAAAACACTGTATCTCGTTAACAAGCAACATGCATAGTGGACATCAGTGATCCTCACTCCATCTCTGACCCATCTCAGTCCTTGTCCCATATCTGAACCTCATTCAATCTCTAACCTTACTCAGTCTCTAAAAGTCTGAAAGTTAAATAGCATTTATCCAAAGGCACCCCTGGAAACAGATAAAGCAAAGATTAGAGTGGGTTAGTTTCTTAAACTGGCATGCTATAAAAGAGCTAATATGTATGCAGGAAAAAGTATTTCCGTGGTACAAAGGTTTGGAAATATACTATTTTAAAATGTTAAGTAGACTTCTTTGCCTCAGAATTTTTTAAACTTTTAACAGGCAAATGTGCTTTGGACGCTGTGCAGTATTTTGCTCATTTCTTTTTATCAAAAACATCTTTTGAATGTTCTTGCTTCATTTTCTTTCTTTTTTTACACCAAGTTCCCAGGTTAGTGGGAATCACCGAGTTTGGTATTTCCCAAGAAAAGTTTCTAAATTACTATTAAATTCATATTAGATGAGTTAGGTGGGTGGCCAGGAGTAGATGGAGAAGCACTACACAGAACATTCAGAAATTTGGCTTGGAAAACTCAAGGAGGGTCTGACAATATGTAAATGTAATTCTGTAAAATCAGGAACAATAATTTCCTAACTACTCTAGAATAAACCTTAATAAATTCTGAAGGAAGTTGACCACTGGGGAGTGCTGTACAATCTGTTGTCATCTGGATGAAAAATCCTCGAGCAGAGCTAAAGCTTGTTCTTAAAGGAAGACTATACTTTTCTCCAAGTTGCGATATCATTCCTAGTGATTAAGAACAAGAAAAAACACAAATGAGACAAAATGAAGGTTTAATGAAAAATTCTCTTTCTGTCTAAAGTTACATGATTTTTTTCTTATTTTATACATGAATAGGAAGGCTTGTTAGTCTTTCAGACTTTAACTATTTTTAAAGTCCAAAAGATGCTATCAAATATTCTTTAAAACAAATAAAAAATACATAGGTACTCATTCTGATAGTTTTTTTTTTTCCTTGAGCAGAAGTCTCCTTCTGTCACCCAGACTGGAGTGCAGTAGCATGCTCATAGCCACTGCAGCCTCGACCTGCTGGGCTCAGGTGATCCTTCTGTCTCAGCCTTCCAAGTAGCTGGAACCACAGATGTATACCACCACGCCCTGCTAATTTTGTGATTTACTGCTGAGTTGAGGTCTCACCATATTGCCCAGGCTGGTCTCGAACCCATGGGCTCAGGCAATCCTTTTGCCTCAGCCTCCCAAAGTGCTGAGATGACAGGTATGAGCCACCACGCCAAGCTCTGATAGGTAATTTTAAAGGGAAAAAATATATAAATGTTTAAATAAAAAAAGGTAGCTAGATGCAGTGGCTTGCCTCTGTAATCCCAGCTACATGGGAGGCTGAGGTGGGAGAATGGCTTGAAACTGGAAGTTTGAGATCAGCCTGGGCAATATATGAGATCCCATCTCTTTTAAATAAAATAATAAAACAAATTTTAAAAACAGAACAAAGACTATTTTATACTCTGTGTTAGAAGTATTAGAGTTTTTTACATATAAAGGGGACCACAAAAATACCAGAATTATTTTTTGGAGGGCAGACTCCTTGTAATACAGCCTTCCCCCACTAGGTAAGGGTTTTAGGAATCTATCAGCATCAGTGTACCAGCTAGCATTGTTGTAAGTGGCTGCGTTCAGCTTCAGTGATTTTTTTGGGGGGAGGGCAGTGTTTCAATGCATTTCCTGATGGGTTATTTACAAGTACACCTACCCACACCAAGCTACATGTTCAACAGTTTTTTTGTTTTTTGTTTTTACCAAAAACAGCAAGACATCCATGCCCCACCCTCTCTAGTCACCAGATCTCACCCTGAGAAACTTTTGTTTCCCTGGATGAAAAAAGTCCTCAGAGGGAAATGTTTTGTCAATGTGGAAGAGGTGAAACAAAAAATGACAGAAGCACTAACAGGCATCAAAATTGATGAGTTCAAACACTGAGTATCTCAGTAGGTGTACTGCATCAAACGGAGGTACTTTGAAGGTGACAAGTTTAAATGTGTAAGAATACACAATTTTTATAAATAAATTCAGGATTTTGGGGGGTCCCTCTTTGTATTATTTATTCTACTTTTTTAAAAAAGAAGAGAATAATCACATACATTATTGCAATCATTAATTCAAGAAATTCTCTCTATAAAACATATTTAGAAAAAAAAATAGTCTAGAAAGGAAATAGCTGATTCATCAGATAAAATGTATTTAAAAATCCAAATCTCCCTATCACCTTCACAATCACTACAGAGTTCTAAATCTATATTTCTAACTTGATGACCCTAAAATTTTGAATATTGCTTGAAGAAAGCTAGTATCTTCATTACTCAAAATAGCTCCTCCTCTTGATTTTCCTGCTTTTCTTGATAGTACCACCACTCTCAGACTAGAAATCTCAATTAGCACTAAGGCGACATTTCCCTTACCACGGTCATTCGAGTAATTCCTGTCAATTTTCCTTTAATGAATTCTTCATGTTTCTTTTCTCATATACATTGCCTTCACCTAATAATGCTTTATTAACTTGTAATAGTTTAAACTGATGTCTTTATTTCTCTACTCAAATTCATTCAGTGTACTTTCTTGATTAACTTCACCCCAAAGTGCAAGAAAAACAAAAACTCAATACCTCTTCCTTTTCCTTGAGGAAAAAAAAAAACTCCTGGCCTTCAAAGTCTAAATTCTACTCTCCAGCCTATACTTCTGGTTTCATCTCTTAATAGTTCTGTAATTCCATCCTAATGGGTTTCCTCACTCAGCCCTTGGGGTTTTCTTAAGCCTCTGTGCTACAGGTTGTACCACTGCTAGTTGGGTGGAATGCCTCTACTGGTAGAGGCTGCTCCCTCTACTAAAACCTTCCCAATTCTCTACGCTTCCATACTGTCACTCTGTGGCCCCTCTAACCTGCAGTTTTTCCCTTCATATATTTTATATTCATATGAAATTACATGAATATGACTGATATACATGCCAACATGATGTACATATATATGCATGAGTGTTTTTTGTTTCTTTATTATCTGCCTCCCCACCATAATATAAGCTCCATGAGGACAGGAACTTTGTCTTGCTCACTATGTATTCCCAGTACTCAGAACAGTGTCTACATGCAACAGGAGCTGTTAAAAGAATTACTGGACTGGTTCAAATGCCACCTCTTCTAGATAAAAGTGGCATCTGTCCTGCCACTGAAATCTTTTAGTATTGACAGTCTGCATTTTTCATATAGCTTATATACAACATTGCATGATGGTAACTCTATGTCTAAGTTTGAAGAAAAGAAGAAATACAATTTTTAATGTATTTTTTTAAAAGTTTTCTTTTTAATATGGTAATATGCATTAATCTTATCTATTTTGGTAACAAAAAATAAATTTAAAATATGCATGGCTAGTCATCAGCAGCAAAAAAGCACAGCATGTCCTTAAAAGTTTGTTTTATTTCTGAAAACAGAAAAAATATGATCGAATAAATCAATCACCTGCTATGTCATCGACAATCTCTGTATATGTTCTTCTGGCTATGTCAAGAAATTCATTGACGTTAGACTTCACTGCGTAGCACTTCTGCGTTCTCATATTCAGGCATCCTTTCATATATCTTGCATCATCATTAATTACTGTTCTAATCTTTTCAAGTATGATTCCAAACCTAAAATTAAGGCAAAAAAGAACATTTCGGGTAATAAGTGAGTTACTTTGTAATTTGAATCAGTGATAGCAAATTTTTATTGAAAGTTATTTTGAAATAAGTAAGCAATAAATATTTAGCCGGGCTCGGTGGCTCAGCCTGTAATCCCGCGCCTTTGGGAGGCTGAGGTGAGTGGATTGCCTGAGCCTGCGGGTTCGAGACCCGCCTGGGCAGGTGAGACCTCATCTCTACAATAAATCAAAAAATTAGCCGGGCGTGGTAGCGTGTGCCTGTAATTCCGGCTATTTGGAAGGCTGAGGCGGAAGGATCGCTGGAGCCCAGCAGATCGAGGCTGTGGTGGCCGGGAGTGGCCACTGCACTCTGGTCTGGGCGACAGAGTGAGACTCCAACTCAAAAAAAAAATAAATAAAATAAATAAATAAATATTTAAATTTCCAGAAGTTAGAGCTATGACTAAGTCAATGTTAAACTACTGTAGTTCGTCAGTCAGGACTAGCCTAAAACAACCTGAGGCCACCATCTACTACTAATAAACAGATCTCTCAGAGTAGACACTGATGTTCCTGAGAGCATAAAATGTGTCTCTAAAGAACTGTTATAAATGTTCTGGCCTCAGGCCAGACACAGAGGCTCACGTCTGTAATCCCAGTGCTCAGGAAGATGAGGTGGGAGAATCACTGAGACCAGGAGTTCAAGACCATCCTGCAGCGACATAGCAAGAACTCGTCTCTTAAAAAAATAATAATAATAAAGGAAAAAACTGGCTTCACTCTTATTCACTCACTAAACATTAACTTATACCATATATCAGGCACTGTGCTAGGTGCAGAGATTCAAAGAAGAATAGCATATGGTAGAAGCAAGGGAGACTAAACATATATCGTGAGACAGTGTAACAGGAACCATACAATTATTAGTGATAAAGTACAGTGATTATGCAAATCAGAAACCTGGTAACACCTATTTTCCTACATGTTTCCTTTATTCTGCACTGTCTTATTTGTAATTAAGCTGGTTTTATTACTAACTTCAGTTTGTGGCCTCACATAGAGAATAAATCTTCATTTAATAAAACAGTTCTTAGTATCACAAATGTTTTCTGTCCAGAACCAAGATGCCACTGCTTATCTTTTAACAATATTAAAATTAAGCTCTATTTAAATCTTACTAATATTCATATCTACTATTTTTAGTTACATTTAACCCTTCATAACTTAACAAAACGGAGGAATATATTTTTATGGCTTTAAGATTTTCCATAGAGAATGGCTTTTAAAAAAAATACTAAAATTGGGGGAGAAAGAGAAGGAAATACTAAAATTGTGCATCAATTTCAATTTTTCATGCTATTCTAATTGTTCATCAACACAATAATCAATGTGCTACCACCATATTTATTGTACTTATAAAGTAAAATGTAAGGATGAATAAGGATTTCATTAACCAAAACTCAAGTAACTGCTCTATAAAATACAATCTTTAAAATTAGTTATGATCAGGAAAAAAAGAATGATCTTTTTTTATTAAGAGTTGAGTGACAAAGACCTCTTGTCTTCCAAGGAACTGGAGTAAGCTCTTAATAAAGGTGTGTTACAGTTCTTCAGAACAACCTATTAAATAATAAAATAAAGAGTTAAGAATGAAGTAAGACATCAAAAACATAGCATTTTGCATTTGTTTAACAGTTTACCACGTACTTTCTTGCTTCATTTTCTCTTTATGTACTCATAAAAATATTATAGATATGTAGGTTAGGACAGATGGTATCCTTCTTATTTTCCAGATGAAAAGCACATGGCTAATAAGTACCATCCACTGCTTCACTACTATGAGTTTTATTTTTATTGTCAAAACTAATTGCTAATATTCAACCACTTATTCAAGCACTTATTCAAGCACTTGAACAAGCACTTATTCAAGCACTTGAACAACTACTGTTGTATACTTAGAATACTCTACATGTAATTCCCAAATTTGGGTTATATGTACATTAAGCCAAAAAAAGTGTTTTGTATATTCATAAATAGAGCAATTTCTTCATTCTTATATGGTAAAAACAGGAGTTTTATTTTGCTTAATGAAAACTATGAGAGGTCACTAACTAAACAAACAGAAAAGAGAAGAAAAGAACATAGTTAATCTGAACTTCATTTCCTCTTTTAGTTTGATATGATGTGACAGCAATTTTTTGCTTTTGAATAGAAAACAATATGCATATACCAATAAAAACAAAAACCGCAAAAGCATTAAGAAAAAAATAAATCACTCACAACCCTACGGCCCTTCTAAAGATAAGTACTCTAAAGATTATGGTGTATTTCCTGCCATTATCTGGAACAGAAACTTCATGCCATTGTATGCCCCTTTCCCCCACCTACTATGGGCTCAGTGTCCCTTACCTGAAATGCATGAAATCGGAAGTGTTTTGGATTCTGGATTTTTTCAGATCTTGGAAATTTGCATATATAACAAAATATTTGAAGATGAAACCCCAGTTTAAACATGAAATTTATTCACATTTCATATACACCTTATATACATAGCCCGAGTTGATTTCAAACAACACTTTAAGTAATGTTGTTCACGAACCATCAGAAAGCAAAGGTGTTATCATCTCAGTCATCCATGTGAAAATCTGTGGTTTTTTGGCATCACTATCACTCCTGACTCTGAATTCATAAGCTATTGATAAGCAATCATTTTTTACACTTATTCACACATAAAAATTTAGCAGTAAAAAATATGACATACTATTAATAAAGGGGAAAAAATAGTGTATTCAAGGTAACTAGGCAGCAAGGTGGCATCACCAGAATACCTATGTCAGCTGTTAAGTAATAGCACAACGGACTATGTCAGGCTTTCAGCTGCCACCTACAATGCTGTGCTTTGATTAAAAGGTTAGGTAAACTGTCCCTTATTTTTCTAGGTAAGAAGAAACATCAGAAGCAGCTGATGGACCAGGAAGTGGGTTTTCTAGGAAGGTTTACTGATGGCTTTTTAAAAATGCCTCTTCCAGTGTTAATCTACCTCATTAATGACAATTTTCATTTTAGAAGTTTTTCTTTGATTTTAAAAACTAACATGGTTTCTTACTGCTGAGTACACAATTCTCTAGGCATTCAGTAAGCCCACCACACATTTTCACTTTGTCTTCAATAGACACTCTTTCTGCAGTACGAACAATGTCATCTTCATCAGCACTACTACTGCCATCACCTTGATTTACGGCAGCAATCTTGCCATTGGCTGATGAATGAACAACTGGAGCCTCATTGTCAATGTTAAAGACTTCTTCAATATCTACTTCTTTCTGTTTACTGATAGACTCTAAAGGTGTATTTTTTTTCATATGTAAAGAGTTCAGACACAATTGTTTTCTCAGTGACGTATGGAATTCTTCAATGTCACAACCTTGTTTATCACCATCACTGAAAATAGTCACAGGCTAGAGACCAGGCACACACAACTGTGTCTTTAGTGACTACGTTCCAAGCACTGGCAACAGCATATATAGCATCCTTCATACTAAACTCCTTTTGAAACTCTTCTACATCCATGCCTCCATTTATGGCTTCTAGCACGCTGTTCAAGAGAGTGTTCTTATATTTACTCTTCATTGACCTAGGGATACCCTGGTCATATGGCTGAATTAGTGATACCACATTTGGAGGAAAGTATATAGTACAAACATTATTTTTTATGAGAACTGTAGTTGGAGGATGAGAACAGTTGTCAAGAAAGAACAAAATCTTGCAATCATCATTCAGTCTAACTTCCTTGCAGTGAGCACAGGTCACAAAACGTTAGGGGAACCAATCAGAGAAAATGTCCCCAGTGGTTCAGGATTTTTCGTTAGCATAATAATAAACTGGTAAGAAATTCACCCTTTGAAGACAGCAAGAATGCAAACTTTTGTCTGTTACAGCAAGTTTACACTTACGCATGCCTCCTGCATTAGCACAGCCCAGCAGTTATTCTTTCCTCACCATCCTTAATTCCCACAGGGCTGTCTCATCAGCTGTAATCAGTGTCTTTCTGGGGCAACAATGCCAAACAATAATGTTTCATCAGCATTATAGACTTGTTCTGGCATCAAATTTTCATCAGTGACGACCTTAGGAAACTTGTCTATAAATTTCTCCAATGTCTCATGATCAGCAGATGCTGTTTCACTACAAATTTTTAAAAATTTAAAGCTATATTTCTTAATAAATTTCTGTGCCAATCTGTGGAATATTTACAGTTCCTTTCAATTTTCATTTCATTGTGATTTTTTTTGCTTGTTTCACGATCAGCATTCCATAATGTGGCATGTGTTCACTGCAATGCTGACAGATCCACTCTCAATGCATGACTGAGAGCTTTATGTAGCATTTTTCTATTTGTTTTAATTAATTTCTGTTCACTGCTTTCAGCACAGAACTTCAACAGCTTATCCTTTTGTTTCCTCAGGTCATACATGATGGTCATTCTAACACCGTACTCTTTTGTAAGACATTTCACACTCACATCATTGTCCAGTTTCTCCACTAGCTTGACTTTCTGTGCTTTAGAAAAACAGAAATAATTCCTCTTTTTCTTATCACTGTTACCCACAGGGGTATCTGCAGGCCTTTTTGACATTTTTTTGTTGTTGTTATCCTAACCACTAGATACACAGGATGATATTTCTAACAATATGTTTAAACCACAAAGAATAAGCAAAAACACAGTGAGTAATGCATGCCGGTCATGTCCCCACATGGGCCGTCATGGAAAACTTGCCACTGGCGTAGTCAACCTGCACATGTGTCACTTTATTTCTTTTTAGGGGTGTGCTTAGAAAAGATAAATCTTTTGGAGAATCTGGGTGTGCACAAAAAAGATATATCACAGCTAGGGGGCTAGGAGGGTCTTTTTGCCTGTAAAGATACAGAAGAAACTGTGTTGGGCACCTGCACTTTGACCGTGACCCATCATATAACGGCAAGTGTAAAATTTTCCACTTGTGGCATCATGTGGCCCTAAAAAAGTTTTGGAATTTGGAGCAATTTGGATTTTGAATTTTCAGATTAGGGATGCTCAGCTTGTTCTACATCATAAGTATGAGAAACTTTTCACAGCAAAACTTCTAAATAATTAATAATACTCCACCCTGTGGAAAGCAAATAATCTGTTCCTCTAACTATTGGCATGCTACTCTTTTTTTTTACAAATTTTCACTGATCTAAGTAAATAATGCTACAATGACCATCACTGGACATACATCTTGGTCAATGTTTCTGAAAGTTCTTGAAGACAAACATTTATAAGTAGTATTACAGGATCAAAAGCTGGATGTTGTGAATGTTTACTACATAATATTCTGTAAAGTATGTGCTATTTGTATTCCTATCAGCTATATAAGAAGTTGTCTGTCTTACTGACCACTAGTTAGCAGCGAGTTACATACATAACAAAAATATAAATCTTTGCTTCTTTGACACATAAAATCTATGGTTTTAATTTGCATTTCTTTGATTAATAGTGAGGGTAATATTTTTTCTACCATTTATTAATCATTTTTATTTCCTTTTTTGGATCATTTTTCATATTTCCATTGGCACTCCAGTATTTTCCTATGAAATTATTGCATCTTATGATGACAGAAATTAATATTTAACCTGTCATTTGTTATAAATTTTTCCTTTCTTTGCCTTTTCATTTGCTTTTGACATCTAAGTCTAAAATTTGTTTCATCAAATCATCAATATTTTTCTGATGACTTGTTTTATCTCTTTCATTATAAAAAGGTGGTAAAATTTTGGAAAATATTTTGTCACATTATTTTAATTATACATATTTATTAGAATAACCAGGCTGAGCGTTATGGCTCATGTCTGTAATACCAACACTATGGGAATCTGAGGTGGGAGGTTTGCTTCAGTCCAAAAGTTCAAGATCAGCCTGGGTAACAAAGCAAGACTTCATCACTATTAAAAATATACACATATTTTTAAAAACATGATAATAAAAGAACAATCTCTATAACAAAATTCTTCCAGATTGTTTTTTCTTTCTGAAAACCAGCTCCTTTTGTTACTTTATTAAAAAGTTTTAAGCCAGGTGCAGTGGCTTAAGCCTGCAATACCAGCACTTTAGGAGGCTGAAGTGAGAGGACTGCCTGAGCCTGCAGGTTCAAGACCAGCCTGGGCAACATGGTGAGACTTTGTCACTACAATTAAAAAAAAATTAGTTGGGTGTGGTAGCATGTGCCTGTAGTTCCTGCTACTTGGAAGGCTGAGGCAGAAGGAACGCCGGAGCCCAGGATGTCAACGCTGGAATAGCTGTGAGCATGACATTGCACTAAAGCCTGGGCAACAAAGTGAGACTCCAACTCAAAAAAAAAAAAGTTTTACACAGTGTAATATTTAAACATTAATGAAAGGATCATCATTTTGTAGTCATTAGAGTAACAATACTTTCAGGTAAGAGTCATCAATTGATTCTAAAATCAACGGGTGAAAGTTTGATGAATAGTAAATTATTTACACATTCTAAAAGTATTTCTCCAGGGATTACTTACTTATTAATTACAAAAGAAAATATAGTAACCTTACAGTGAAAAAATTGATCAAAGTTAAAATCACCAAGGATGGGAAAATGACACTGCCTCCTGATGTGATGTGCTGAGCTGAGAAAGATACATTGTTCAGAGTATTACTACCAAATATACATAGATGAATTTAATCATGAGGAAACAATCATATAAATTGAGGACCATTCTATAAAACAACTGACCCTATGCTTCCAAATGTCAATATCATTAACCAAAGGTTGAGAAACATTTTCATTTTAAGGGAGTTTTTGAAAAATGACACTAAATATAATGTATAATCCTGAGATGGACCCTGTATCAGAAAAAATGCTATAAAAAGCATTATTAGGACACCTGGAAAAATTTGAGTATGGGATATATATTATATATTAGTATTATATCATTATTAAATATTCTGAATTTTATAATACTATTGTGGCTATATGAGAGACCATCCTTGTTCTTAGGAGATATATACTTTACTATTCAGGTATTATAACTTATTCTCAAATGTGCCTGTGTGTGCTGTATGCGTAAAATGAATAAAGTATGAAGAATTCATTATGCTATTCCTGCAACTTTCTCTAAGTTTGAATTTTTCTCTAAACAAAGAAATGATGTTTAAAAATGATGTTGAACATGTTTTGTATGTATACAGATAGATCAAGATTACCTTTAAAGGATCCACAAGTTCCAATGTATGCTTTAAGTATATCAAATTTGTTATCTTTGATTCAGCTGCATTGACCTGTTAAGATAAAAATACAAATGTGGGTGGATACCATAAATATTTGCTATAAGAATGTGTTTTCCTTTCTACATTTTACCCTTGGCATATTCCATATATTTTTATATATCAGCCTAGCCAGGATGCCAGCCTATCGAATAGTTAGAAATTGGCTGATGTGGTGGCTCATGCTTGTAATCCCAGCACTGTGGGAGGCCAAAGTGGGAAGGTTTGCTTGAGGACAGGTGTTCAAGTTAAGCCTGGGCAACATTGCAAGACCTGGTCTCTACAAAAACATTTTTTTAATTGTTTTCAATTAGCCGGTCATGGTGGTGCATGGCTGTAGTCTTAGCTATATGGAAGTCTGAGGCAGGATGATTGCTCGAGTCCAGGAACTTAAGGCTACAAAGAGCAATGATTGTGCCACTACACTCCAGCATGGCTAGCTAGCAGAGTGAGACCCTGCTTTGAGAAGAAAAGAAAAAAAAGAAATTACTGGCCAACCATAATAAACCTAGCACACCAGTGTCCCAAAAGTCTGAAATGAGGAGTTCACCTCATTGTACCCAACTTTCATTTCTATTTCATTCCTTTGGTTCCATTTGAAACCATAATAGAAAAGGGAGATAAAGTTCAATCCTGAGTAGCACCAAGAGACTAAGATTAACTGAAAAGACATGAAGGGTATTTGTGGATAGATGATATCTTGAAAGACTGAATCCAAACCTCATAGTTACAGAAAAACATGATCCCTCATCAATCTCTGCTTGTGCAAGTAAGCTAATAAATTGTAGTTTTTCAATTTATCATTATCCAGTAATCCTAATAAAGTGTAGTTTTTCAAAATAAAGCAATACTGATATTATAAATTATATAAATTGACTTCATATCAATTAGATCATGATCTGTGTAGAGTTGAGCAGTGGTACTGAACCTGCGGAAATGAGAAATGTCCTTGTGAATGGGTTAATTTATCAATCTGACAGGAGTAAAGTTTTAGGATATTAAAATTATGACATAATATACTTGATATGAGGCTGTTTCCTTCTGAGGTACCTTGACCCGTATCCCCACTGTACAACATTTGGACTGTTCAGTGACTATGCAGGTCAATTTAGAAGTAATACCATAATAAATGTTGTTAGCCCAAAAAGAGTTATCTCATGCTCTCTTACAATAAATCTCTGAGACTAACTGGAAGATTAAAAAGAAATAAAACTCAGCCGGGCTTGGTGGCTCAGACTGTAATCCCGTGCCTTTGGGAGGCTGAGGTGAGTGGATTGCCTGAGTCCGCGGGTTCGAGACCCGCCTGGGCAGCGAGCCTTCATCTCTACAATAAATCAAAAAATCAGCCGGGCGTGGTAGCGTGCGCCTGTAATTCCAGCTACTTGGAAGGCTGAGGCGGAAGGATCGCCGGAGCCCAGCAGGTCAAGGCTGCGGTGGCCGGGAGCGGCCACTGCACTCCAGTCTGGGTGACAGAGTGAGACTCCAACTCAAAAAAAAAGAAATAAAACTCACCAAACAGAAGTCAACCATTATCACTAGCACAAAAGGAGAGCCAAAAATAACTAACACCCTTGAAGAAGATCAAAGTGGAAGAAATACTGATACTGAATGTCAACTGATAATAAAATTACAGTACTCAAATGACTATGGCATTGGCATAAGGACAGTCAGAGAGACCAGTTGGACAGAATAAAACATCTAGAAACAGATTCAAGCATATATGGCACTTGATTTATGACAAAGGCTGACTGCAGAGCAGTGGGAAAAGGACAGTCTTTTCAATGAATAATACCAGAACCCTTATGAATCCAGGTGGGAAAAAAGAAATATGGCCCTTTCATTACCCACACACAAAAGTAAATTCTAGGAGAATCATAGCTGTAAATATAAAATGTAATATAATAAAACATCTGAAATATAACCAAGAAAAATATCTTCATGGCCTTGTGTGACCTAATTAACTTTTAGATTTTGGTAATCGATGATTTGGCCTCCATTAATCACACAGTCAAAGCAACAGTTGGAGTTGTTTACATCTTCTTTGCAGTCTGGCTTTTGTAGGCATGTGAAAACCCTATCACAAATCCTCCAATCACAAACGCCAACATCTATGTTTCACTTCCTGTCCAAGAGGGGGCATCCTTATCTAGCTACTTCCTGGCACTATAGTAATAAAGGTTTTGCCCACGCTTTACCTTTGTTCCTTCTGCCTCCTGACTAACCCTGCTACTTCCCCAGGTAGCCCTGCCTGGCATGCCTTCCTCTTGGGAGCTATACATACACTCGTCTTTCAATGGAATTAGTTTCTCTGTATTGTCAATCACTCACCTCCATACGTTAAAATTCCATGGGTACAATCGAGACACTAAAGAAGGTAAAAAAATCTCTTAAGCAGAACATAGCCAACAGTAACCATAAAGGAAAAAAAAATCGATAAACTGAAATCACTCAGATTAAGAACTTCCATTCATCAAAACATACTAATGGCAGGGCACAGTGGCTCATTCCTGTAATCCCAGCACTTGAAGAGGCTGAGGCAGGAGAATCACTTGTGGCCAGGAGCTCAAGACCAGTCTGGGCAACATAACGAGACCTTGTGGGACCCCATCCTTTTACAGGAAACTGCCTGGACCAGGTGGTCAACAAGGAAGTCCTGGCAGTCATGTCTACCTGACTGCAACATCTCAGGGGACAGGATTTAACCTGGGGCCTGGGGGGCTATGATGCCACACTCATCCAGAGTGTAGGTTCTCTTTCTGCCTGTGGAAAGTGATTTCTTTCTTAAATAAATCTTTTCTCCTTTCACCTCTTTGTGTGTTGCAAATTTTTGCATGACTTGGATTTTTGGTTGCCAGCGCACACCTCTGGCACACCAGCTCCAGACGTGCTGCACCCCTCCACATCCATCCATCCAACCTCACCCCCATACCCTAATGGAAAGCAGCATTTAGATAAGTAAAAAAACGCAGTGCAAAGTTTTAACAGTATACTAGAATATGCAGAAGAAAAGGTCTCAGAACTTGAAGACAAAGCTTTTGAATTAACATAATCAGACAACAATAAAGAAAAAAGAATCAAGAGAATGGACCAGGGTCTCCAAGAAACGTGGGGCTGTGAAAAACATCCAAAGCTAAGAATCATAGGTATTCCTGAGGAAGAAGAGAAAGCAACAGGTTAGGAAAGCCTATTTGAGAGAACAAAGCAGAAAAACTTCTCTGGCCTTGCCAGAGATCTAAACATCCAAATACATGAAGCCCCAAGAGCCCCCAGAAGATTATTTGCAAAAAAGTCATCTCCAAGACATATAATCATCAGGCTATGCAAAGTTAATGTGATGGAAGAAAATTTAAGAGCAATGAGACAAAAGCACCAAATAACTTATAAAGGTAAACCTATCAGATGAACAGAAACTTCTCAAAAGAAACCTTGCAAGCCAGAAGGGATTGGGGACCCATCTTCAATCTCTTCAAGCAGAATAACTGTCAGCCAAGGAGTTTGTATCCTGCAAAACTAAGTTTCATAAATGAAGGAGAAATGCTGAGGGAATTTGTTACCACTAGACCAGCTCTACAGGAAATATTCAAAGGAGTCCTAAATACTGAAACAAAAGGTGGAAATACACCAGTAGAATAACACTGGAAATCATAAAGTTCACAGGCTTTATGGAACACAAACACAATGGAGAAAGTAAATAAACAAAGCAACTAGACAACAACCAGTATGCTGACTAGAATAGTACCTTACATACCATTATTAACCATGAACATAAATGGTCTCAATGCCTCCTCTAAAAGATATAGACTGGGAGGTTGGATACACACACACACACACACACACACACACACACACACACAAACACACCAAATATCTGCTGCCCTCAAGAGACCCACTTAACCACAAAGAATCCTACAGACTGAAGGTAAATGTGTGGGAAAAAATATTCCATGCAAATGGAAACCAAAAACAAGCTGGGTCACCATTCTCGTGTTAGATAAAACACACTTTAAATTAACAACAGTTAAAAAAAAACAACAAAGATAGCGATTACATAATAATAAAGGGATCAATCCAATGAGAAGACATAACAATTTAAAATATATATGCGCCTAAAACCAGAGTCCCCAGCTTTATAAAATAAATTCTACTAGACCTAAAAAAAAAAAAAATAGAGAGAGATAGACAGCAATACAATAATAGTGAGAAACTTCAACATTCCACTGATAGTAATAGATCATCAAGGCAGAAAGTCAACAAAGAAACATTGGAGTTAAACGGGCCTCTAGAGGAAATGAAATTAACAGACATCTACAGAACATTCCATCCCAAAACTACAAAATACAAATTTTTCTCATCAGTCATGAAACGTTCTTCATTATAGACCTTACGATAGGCCACAAATCAGGTCTCAATAAATTCCAAAAAATAAAATTCACATCAAGCACCATCTCAGCCCACAGGGAATTAAAACTAGGAATTAACTCCAAGAACTCATGAAACAAACAAAGATATGGAAGTTAAACAATTTGCTCCTGAATAATCCTTGGGTCAACAATGAAATCAAGATGGAAATTTAAAAATTCCTTGAAATAAGTTATCAAAACCTCTAAGACACAGCCAAACCTGTGCTTAAAGGAAAATTTCTAGTGCTTAAGGCCTATATTAATAACACTGAAATATAACATTTTGACAACCTAACATCACACCTCAAGGAACTAGAGAAACATGAACAAACCAAACTGAAAGCTAGCCAAAAAAAAAAGAAGAAAAAGAAAAGAAAAAAAGAAATAACAAAGATCAAAACAAGACTAAATGCAATTGAAATAAAAAAAATACAAAGGATCAATGAAACAAAAAGGTGGTTCTTTAAAAATATAAACAAGGCAGGCATGGTGGCTCAAGTCTGTAATCTAGCATTTTGGGAGGGCAAGGTGAGGGGATTGCCTGAGGCCATCGGTTCAAGAACAGCCTGGGCAACTTGGAGGGACCCCATCTCTACAATTAATCAAAAAATTAGCCAGGCATGGTAGCATGTACCTGTAAAGGCTACTAGAGGCAGAAGGATCGCCTGAGCTAGCAGGTTGATGCTGGGGTGGCTGTGAGCATGCCAGTGTACTCCAGCATAGGCAATGAAGTGAGACTCCAAAGCAAAAAAGCAAACAAACAAATATATATATATATATATGAACAAAATTGATAGATTACTAGCTAGGTTAATTAAGAAATGAAGAAAGAATACTCAAATTAGTTCAATCAGAGATGAAAAAGTAGACATTACAACTGATACATGAGAAATTTAAAAGATCATCCACGATTATTATGAACACCTCTATACAACACCTCTATACAAACAAACTAGACAACCTAGAGGGAAGAGATAAATTCTTAGAATCATACAACTTCCCAATCTTGAATCAAGAAGAAACAGAAACCCTGAACAGACCAGTAACAAGTATCTAGATGGAAACAGGAACTCAAAGTCTCCCAACAACAACCAAATAAACTCCAGGACCTGATGAACTCACAAGTGAATTCTACCAGACCTTCAAGAAAGAACTGGTAATAACTGTACTGATGCTATTCCATAAGACCGAAGAGGAGGGAATCCTCCCTAACTCATTCTGTAAGGCCTATATCACTCTGATACCAAAGCCAGGAAAATACAAAACAAAAAAAGGAAAGTATAGATCAATATTCCTTATGAACATAGACACAGAAATCCTCAACAAAATATTAGAAACAGAATTCAAAGGCACATAACAAAATAATACACCATGACTAAGTGGGCTTTATCCCAGAGACGCAAGTGTGGCTCAACATATGCAAGTCGATAAATCTGATCCACTACATAAGCAGAATTAAAAACAAAAATCATATGATCATTTCAATAGATGCAGAAAAAGTATCTTATAAAATCCAGCATCCCCTCATGACAAAGACTCTCAGCAAAATGGCATAGGGGGAACATTCCTTAAAGTAATAAAAGTCATATATGACAAACCCACAGCCACAGTCATCCTGAACGGAGAAAAGTTGAAAGCATTCCCCCTCAGAATTGGAACAAGGAAAAGATGCCTACTGACACCACTCCAATTCAATATAGTACTGGAAGTGCTAGCCAGAGCAATCAGGCAAGGAAAAGAAATAAAGTGTATCCAAATTGGAAAAGAAGAAATCAAACTATCTCTGTATGCCAGTGATATAATCTTATACCTAGAGAACCTTAAGGACTTCTCCAAAAGACTACTGGACCTGAAAAAAGAATTCGGTAAAGTTTTGGGATATAAAATCAACACAGACAAATCAGTAGCACTGCTATGCACCAATAGTGGCCAAGTTGAGAATCAAATCAAGAACTAAATTAAATTTCATTTACAATACCAGCCAAAAAGCTAAACTACCTAGGTATATTATTAACCAAGGAGGCAAAAGATCTTTACAAGGAGAACTACGAAACTCTGATGAAAGAAATTGCAGAGGATGCAAAAAATGGATGAACATCCCATGCTCATGAATTGGAAAAATCAACATTATTTAAAGTGACCATATTACCCAAAGTATCCTACAGATTCAATGCAAAACCTATCAAACTACCAATTTATTTTCTACAAAATTAGAAAAAACAATTCCAAAATTCATATGGGAACAAAAAAGAGCCAGAATAGTCAAAGCAATTCTAACCAAAAAGAACAAAGCTGGGGGCATCACATGACCTATCTTCGAATATACTACAAGACTGCAGTAACCCAAACAGCATGGTACTGGTATAAGAGCAGATACATGGACTAATGGAACAGAATCTAGAAATAAACCCAAATACTTAAACCAACTGAACTTTGACAAAGCAGACAAAAACATAAACTGGGGAAAGGACACCCTATTCAACAAATGCAAAAAAGTGAAACTTGATCCCTATCTCTCCCCATATATAAAAATTAACTCAAGATGGATTACAGACTTAAATGTCAGACCCGAAACCATAAAAATTTTAGAAGAAAACCTAAGAATAACTCTAAATCAACTGCTAATATAACAAAACAATGAGTTCACTTTAATAAGTCACCAAAGGAAATGAAATGGAATCATAAAAAATACTCAACACAAAAGAAGACAAAAAAGCAAAAAGGGAGCAAATGAGACAAATAAAAGGATGGTAGATTTAAATGGAAACATATCAATAACCTCATTAAATGTGAATGAAAGAAACACCTCAATTAAGACCAAGATTGTACACAAAAAGCTAGGACCCAAATATATGTTGCCTACAAGAAACCCATATTAAATATAAAGACAAAGATAAGTTAAAAGCAAAAGGATGGTAAAGGTATACGATGATAACACTTATCAAAAGAAAGCTAGAAAGTCAATATTAATATTAGATACAGTAGACTTCAAAGCAAAAATATTACTAGAGATAAAGATTATCATTTCATAATAATAAAAGATTCAATTCATAAAGAGAACATAGCAAACTTAAGTGTTAATGTACAAAGATTCAAAATGCATTTGATAAAAATTGATAAAACTGCAAGAAAAAAATAGAAAAATCTACAATTATATTTGAAGATTTTGACACTGTTTCCCAATAATTGATAGAACCAATAGCCAAAAGAAAACAACAATAAGGATATAGAAGTCTTGAAGACCACTATCAATCAACTTGAACACATTTATGGAACACTCTAGCCAACAACAACAACAACAACAAAATATATATTATTTTCAAGCTTACATGGAACATATACCAAGATTAACTATTCTTGGCCATAAAAACAAGTGTCAATAAATTTTAAAGGATCTATATTATATAATGTTTGTTCTCTGACCAATAGGGAATTGAGTTAGAAATCTGGAAAGCCCCCCAAAATTGGAAATGAAATATTACACCTCTTAAATATCCCATACATCAAATAAGAACTTTTTTAAAAATTAGAAAGTATTTTGAACTTTTAAAATAAAAACCAAATCACAACATACAAAAATTGTGAAATACAGCCAAAGCATTACACAGAGGAAAATGTATAGCAGTAAATGCCTATATTAGAAAAGAATAAAAGGTCTCAAATCAATGACTTCAGCTTCCTCTTTTACAACCTCAAAAAAAGAAGAGAAAACTAGCCACAGAGTAAGCAGAAGAAAGAAAATAAAACTGCTAAGACCAGAAATCAAAGAAACAGAGAACAGAGGAAAAAATAGAAAAGATAATAACGAAATAAAAAGCTGTTTTCTTGAGAATACCAATAAATTGATAATAGACTAAGGAAAACAGATTATATTCAAGTTATTAATATCAGGAATGAGACAGTATGTATCACCATAAATCTTATAGATATAAAAAGGACAATAAGGAGGACACTGTGAGTCACTTTATGCAAAATTTGAAAAGTTGGGTGGAACAAAAAATTATTTGAAAAACACAAACTACCAAAGCTCATTTAAGAAGAAACAGATAACCTAAATAGCACCATATCTATTTAAGTTGAATTTATAGTTAAAAGACCTTCTTATCAAGAAAATCCCAGGTTCTAATGGCTTCATTTGTAAATTCTACCAAATATCTAAGGAATCAATAAGACCAGTTCCATATGAACTCTGCCAGAAAACTAAAGAGGGGAAAATACTTCCAAACTTATTTTATGAGATCATCTTGCTTTGTTCCAGACATCAGTTTATTTTAGGTAAGCACCAATTTTGTATATATTGTAGTATATAGTTCTTCAATTATTTAAAGAAACTTCTAGTTCAATGCCTCCCCAACAGCTAAATCTTTTCCATCTAGTGATGCTTTTGGTATATTTAAGAGTATTTTCTTTACAGTATAGAAAAAAAATTACTAAATGTACCTTAGTTTTCAATTAATTTGCAAAAGTAACCACATTTTAAATCAAATTTTTACTAATGTGCAAGACTTCTTTCCTTTAAGTATCTGGGCTAAAATATATCTGTATTTCATTACAGTAAATATTCTTCAATTCACCTTCAATGGAAGAATGAAACTGTCTATTATAATTTGAAAACTGTCTCTATAATTTGAAAATTATACAGAAAAGATGTTGTTTCATTCTTAAAGGTTGGAGACTAATTAAACTTTAATCACTTTAAGAACAATCTATACTCTTTAGCTTTAATATAATTTTTACTTATTAGGCAAATGTTATTACAGTCTAAGTGTTTTGGGAATTACATACAACTCCTTAGGTAAATGTCTGATTAGTGAAAATAGGCCAATTCCTCAACTATCTAAGAAACTTTTTATTTTACTATAACATATAAAATGCATAAAAATACTCTGGATATCAATAATAAAGTACTTTCCTTCACATTTTCCAGCTGTTGTATTATATTAAGACAAGTTCTAACACATAAACATACCGTGTCTTGCTTTGGAATTTGGACTAAAACAGAAAGAAGTTGCTCTGTATCAAGAAACCGTGATAAAACTGAAACAAAAAAAAAAAACAAGCAAATGTGAGCATTTGAACTATGGTACAGTTAAACTATGGTGCTATGTAAAATATTATCCTCAATAAAGCAGAACAGTTCTACCTGCAAATATTTTATGTCTTCTTTATCTATTTTCCATATAAAAGTAGGATAATAATAAATTATGATGTCCTTTTCTTAACTTTGATTACTCACAATATCACCTCAAAACGTTACACTGTTGACCATCCCTTCTGCCATGATTTGCATGCCCCCACCAAAACTCATGCTGGAATCTTAATTCCCAGTGGAAGCTTTAATAGGTGGGACCTGATGGGTGGTATATGGGTCACAGGAGCTCCACTCCCATGGGCAGGTTGGTGTTGTTCTCATGGTGATGAGTGAGTTACTGCTCTCACAAAATAATTTGCTCTGGCAGGGAGGGATCGGTTTCCACACAAGAACAAACTGTTACAAAGTGAGGATGTCTCTAATCTTGCCCCGTGGCACATGACCACTTCCCTGCTGACCTTCTGCCACGTGACGACGCCACACGAAAGCCCTCGCCAGAAGCTGAGCAGAGGCTGAGGCCATCTCTTGGACTTGCCAGCCACCAGAACTGCGAACCCGATAAATCTCTTTTTTTGTGAATTTTCCAGCCTCAGGTATTCTGCCACTGCAACACTAAAGGAACTAAGACACTTCCCTCCCTCTTGACACTTTACTTTCTGACTTTTGGATGTTGTCTATTACAATTTTCTTCTCATCTTTATGATATTTACCTTTCTTCCTAGTACTAAAAAGATGCTTAGTCTAAAAGCATAGTTCAACCACTAGCCACATAACCTTCTCAAAAGTTACCTAACTTATCTGAACTCTGCATGTTCTTATCTCTTAGATGCCGACAATATCTACCTCCTAGGGTTTGTTTTGAGAATTAAATGAGATAAGAACATGCAGAGTTCAGAGAAGTTAGGTAACTTTTGAGAAGGTTAAGGATTGAATGTGTCCCCCAAAGTTCAAATTCACTGCAAACTTGATCCCAATGCAACAATGTTGAGAAGTCAGGGGAGATGATTAGGTAATGAAGGCAATGTTCTCATGAGCGAATTAATGCTGTTGTCATGGAAGTGGGTCTCTGATAAGAAGCTCCTTGCCTCTTTCATGTGCATATATGCTCTCTTCCCCTTAACACTGTGTTATGACTCAGCAAGAAGGCTCTTAGCAAATGTGAGCCCCTCAACTTTGGATTTCTCAGCCTCCACAACTGTAAAAATAAATAGCCATTATTTACAAACTACTCACTCTCAGTTGTTCTGTTATAGCAGCACAAAACAAAGACAGAAAATTGGTACTAAGACTGGAGTTGATGCTATAATGAATACCTGAAAATGTGGAAGTGACTTCGAAACCAGGCAATACATAGAAGCTGGAAGAATTTGGAGGAGGAGACTAGAAAAAGCCTAGATAGCCATGCACAGAGCATTCAAGACAATTCTAACGAGGGTCCAGAAAAAGTGAAAAATGTGGGAAAAGTCTGGGACTATGTAGAGATTACTTAAGTAGCAGTGATCCGAATGCTGGTAGAAATACAGAGGGTAAATGACACTCCAATAAGGTTTCACGTAGAACTGAGGTACAGAATACCAGAAACTAGAGTAAAGGCCTTTCTTGTTATACAGTTGCAAAAAACTTGGTGGAATTGTGTCCATGTCCCAGGATTTTGTGGAGACAGAACTTGAGTGATGAACTAGAATATCTAGCAGAAGAAATACCTAAGCAGCAAAGCATTCATGTTGCATGGTTTCCTTTGGCTACTTACACAAAATGAGAGACGAGATAAACAATTTAAAAATAAAATTTATAATTAAGAGGGAATCAGAATGAAAAAATTTGGAAATTCTTATCCTGGTCATGTAAAGAATAAAAAGGTATGTTTGGGAATGAATACTAGGGGTATGGGCCAAGCAACAATTTACTAAAGAGATTAATACAAACAGAAAGAAGTCAGATTCTGTTCATCAAGACATGGGAGAATGACTCCAAGGGCATTTCAGAAATCTCCAAGGCAAGCTAGAACCTTGAGGGCAAGGTTGCCAGAGTAGTACCCATAGGTCCTCAACATTTGGTACCCCCCACCGCCTCAAGACACTACACCCCAAATTCTGGCACAATACCTCTCAGCCACCCCAACTGTAGCTCAGGGGGATCCAGGTGCAGCTCAGCCCACTGCTCCAGAAAGAATAAGTCATAAGCCTTGGCAGCATCCACATGATACTACTTCTGTAGGAATGCAGAATGCAAGACCTATAAAGCCATGGTGGCTTTGCCTAGATTTCAAAGGATGTCAAGGGCAGTTTGGCCCAAATGGAGACTTGCCAAAGAGGTCCAGTCACCACAGAGAGCCCACACTAAGGCAATGCCTAGTGGAGTCAGGGAAATGGGGTAGTCCCCCGAGAGCACAGAACTGTAGGGCCACCAGCACTCAACTCCAGTCTGAGAAAGCTGCAGGCATGAGACTCCAACCCATAAGAGCTGAATGGACTAAGCCCAGAAAAGCCATAGGGGTTGGGCTGCCTGAGACTTTGGGGCCCAACTCCTACCCCAGTGTACCCATTGTTTGAGATCCGGAGTTAAAGGAGATTACTCTTCAGGTTTAAGACTTAATGTTATTCTCCTTGTCAGGTTGTAGGCATGCTTGGGGCTTACTACTTTTTTGTTGCTTATTTCTCCCTCTTGGAATTGGAATGTTTATTCTATGCCTGGTCCAAATTTTTGGAAGATAATATTCAACTGCATAGGCTCACAGCCAGAGAGGAAATTGCTTCAGGATAAACTATGCCTTGAGTCTCACCTATGTCTGGTTCAGATGAGACTCTGAACTTTAGACTTTTGAGTTGGTACTGAAATGACTTTGGGCTACTGGGATGAAATGAATGTATTTTGCACATGAGAAGGACATGAATTTGAGGAGCAAGCGGTAGGGCAAAACGTTATGGCTGACTGTGTCCCCCAAGTTCATGTGTCGGACACTTGAGAGCCCTCATGCATGGATTAAGGTCATATGGCAGGAGTGGGTTAGTTATCATGGGAGTGAGTTCCCGATAAAAGGTGGAGCTCACCCCTTTCCCCTCTCTTGCTGCATGCTCTCTTGCCCTTCTGCCTTCCTCTCTCAGACGCTGCCTCAGGAAGCCCCTAACTAGACACAGGTCCCTCAACCTTGGACTTCCTGGCCTCCAGTACCGCAAGGTGCTACATTCATTTCATCCTATTCTTTATAAATTGCCCGTCTCAGGTATTCTGTTCTAGCAGCACAAACACACTAAGACAATGTATAAAGTATCTTACAAATACCTGGGCTTGAAGATTGTTATTTTAGTCTTCTCAACTTATTTTCTTGCTTAACATGTTCTATAAAAGTAAATGTATAGATGATTGTAATCTACCTTTTAATTACACCCATGTTAAAAAAAATCCTAACCAATTAACATAGAGATCTTTTAAACATGTGTTCATTACCCCATACTTAAAATACAGTACACTACAGTAACCATTTCTTAACAACTCATGGCTATTATCATCACTGTAATGTATGACTTTGATAGATTTTGTGTAGACTTATTTATATTTTCACAAAGTGGTTCCAAGCTAAAAAAATAAAATAAAAATAAGACTAGGCACAGTGGCTCATGCCTATAAGCCCAGCACTTTGGGAGTCCGAGGTGAGAGGATTGCCTGAGCCCATGGGTTCAAGACCAGCCTCGGCAACTTGGTGAGACTTCATCTCTACAAACAAAAAAACCAAAAAAAATTAGCTGTGCATGGTGGTGTGTGCCTGTAGTTTCAGCTACTTAGAAGGCTGAGGCAGAAGGATCGCCTGAGCCCAGCAGGTCAAGGCTGTGGTGGCTGTGAGTGTGCCACTGCACTCCAGCCTGGGAAACACAGTGAGATTTCAATTCAAAAAATAATAATAATAAAATTAAACTTTTATGTCACTTGTTTTCTGTTCAAACTGCCAGGTATCTTTTGAGAGTTTTTAGTTTGTCAACTCTGGAACTGTGCCCCTTTCAAATTTGCTGCTTCTACAGTAAATAATTGTATTAAAATTGTGGTAAAAATTAAAGTAGGCAGAATATACTGCTGTTATGATCTTTGTTATGTACAATATGACACAATACTATAATGACATTTTACATGTGATTCTGCTAGCTAAAATCTCATAAGGCCCTCAATTATACCGGATCCCCAAAATACTGGAATTATCTTTTCTAGGGCAGGCCCCTTGTAGTACAGGATTCCCCCACTAGATAAGTATTCTAGGAACCCATCAGTTTTTATCTGGATGTTTTTGAGAAGGTTGCATCACAATTTGCAGGAGAAACATCCTGAGTTATGGCAAACAGGTAACTGGTTCTTCCTCAATGACAACGCATCTGCCCACACTGCACTGAGCATTCAGCAGTTTTTGGCCAAAAGTCACACGACTCCCATGCCTCGGCCTCCCTATTCACCCAAACTCACCCCGAGTGACTTTTTTGATTCCCCAGATGAAAAAAGTCCTCAAAGGGACACATTTTGCCAATGTGGAAGAAATGAAAGAAAAAATGGCAGAAGTACTAAAAGGCATCAAAATGGACAAGTTCAGAAGCTGTTCTGAGCAGTGGAAAAGGTGTCTTAATAGGTGCATTACATCAAAGAGTACTTTGAAGGTGACTGAAATTTAAACATAAGAATATACAATTTTTAATAAATAAATTCTATGTTTTTTAGGTCCCCCTCATATTGTTGTCTTTCAAATCTCTTCCTTTACAAATCTATGATTACAACCAGAATAAAGTTTCTAAAATAAGAATTTGATCATCTTATTTTCTTGGTTTGGGATCACAGCTGCATATTGCCTGAAGGAAAAAATTCAAACTTCTTAGCATTATAGAAAGGTCTTTCATAACCTAGCTTCAAATCTCATTTTCTGCCACTCCACAGGCTTCAAGTCATAAATAACTACTGGCCAAGCCTTAATACAGCAAGCTTTTTTATATCAACATAAGTGCAACTGCAGAAGTTTATGATAAGCCTATCTTCACCAACTTCCCAGAAAAACAAGTGTGACCTAGAAAGTAATGCCTAGTCAAGATCACAGGCAATGACATGTGTACCAGATCATTACCTCAGTCACTACATCCAACAAACATCTTTGGTACTCCTATGGGTCAACACACCTTGCACAGGCATGTCCCTTTGCCTTAAATATCACCGCTAGAATTTTGTTGCCAAAATCCTACTAATTTCCTTAAGACAAAGCTAAAATATTCCTGTGAATCTCACCTGGATTCTCTGTTTATCTCAGCTCTGTCTCCTATGTTCCCATAAAATACTTACGTATTATTGCATTTATGACACTGTATCACAATTATTTATGTAGAGTTCTCTTGCCATAACATGGATGTGAGGTCCTTGGGGACAGATATAGTATAATTTTCCTTATCTATTTATCCCTAACACCTATAGAATACTTACAGGTTTTAAAAAAAAGGTTCAGATTCTCACATTTTCATGAACTGCAAAATTACCCTCCCATTCTGCCCTATGAGCTTCTTCCCTATTTTACTGCATGTTTAAATAAATTATAAACTATAAAGATATAGGAAAAGAACTTAAAATATACACAAACTGAAGTTTCAAAAAAATCCAAGTTTTTAATCAAAATCTTATCATACAAAACACTATGATCTTGGGACTAACATAATACAATTTTCAACAGTTTCAACAATGAGTCAATAGCTTAACAAATATGAATACCTGTTACGTCCTAGCTTTCCAACAAACATTCAACAAGATATGCATTCATAATACAGTGAGATAAGTGCTACAACAAGACCTTATAAAAAACATGTAGAAAAGATCCCTAATGCAGACTCGGGAGGTCAGAGAGGCTCCCAACCTAAGTGACGTCTACATGAGAATGGCAAAAGATGAGGTGCAATTAGGCAACATGGGCGGAGGGACTGCCAAGAAAGAGGAGGAAATATGCCAGGCAAAACTGCCGAGTGTCAAGGTCAGAAAGTGAGAGTGAATATGCTCAAGTAACTTAAGGAAGTTCAGCTATACTGGCAAGCAGAATGGAAAGTGAGGAGGGACAAAAGATGCTGTGGGAGATGACAGAGAAAGAGCCTTATAGAAGAGTTTGGATTCTAACCTAGAAGTAATGAGAAGACATTGAAGGATCTTATGCACGTGAGTCCCAAAGACGTCCACTTCCTAATCTCTGGGATTTGAGAATCTCTTAACTGACAAAAGGGGCTTACTAGATGAGATTAAGTTACGGGTCTTGAGATGGAGATAATATCCTGGATTATCTCTTGGCCTCAAAGTAATCACAAAAGTCCTTACAGACGGTAGCAGGAAGGTAAAGAATCAGGGAGAGAGGATATACACAGAAAAGCAGAGGTCTGATGTTATGAAGATGCTCTACTGCGGGCTTAAAGATGAAGGAAGGACCACAAGCCGAGGAATGTAGGTGGCCTCCAGAAACCAGAAAGAGAAACTGATTTTGCCCTAGAGTCTCAAAAAAAAAAAAAAAAAAGTGAACATGCTGACACATTGACTTTAGTTCAATGAAACTCATTTCAGACCTCCAGCACTGTAAGATAATAAATTCATGCTGTTTAAAGTCACTAAATTTGTGATGATTTGCTACATCAACAATAAGAATGAATACAGGTTGGGCGTGGTACCTCAGCCTGTAATCCTAGTACTCTGGGAGGAAGAGGTGAGAGGACTGCCTGAGCCCAGGAGTTCTAGACTAGTCTGGGAAATTTGGTGAGACCTCATCTCTACAATAAATCAAAAAATTAGCTGGGCATTGTAGTACTCGCTTGTAGTCCCAGCTACTTGGAAGGCTGAGGTGGGAGGATTTCCTGAGCCCAGCAGGTCAAAGCTGTGGTAGCCACTGTACTCTAGCCTGGGTGACAGAGTAAGTCTCTGACGCAAAAAAAGAAGAAGAAGAAGAAATGAATACAAAAGGATAAGTTCAGACTTAAGTTTCCAAAAGGTCACTCAGGCAATGGTGTAGAGAGGTTAGAAACAGCAAGACTATAAGAGGGAGATCAAATAGGAGGCTGTCACAAGAAATCAGATAAGAGAATTAATGGATCCTGGTCAGGAGTGGCAGCAATGGGAACACGAGAAGCAGATATATCCAAGAGGTAAACAGGAAGGAGACTTTGCAGAATTTGAGGATTAAGTACAGAAAAAACAATAGTCAAAAATGACTTTCAGGTATCCAGCTTGCGTAAAGAGGCTGAATGTGGAGCTATTCACTGAAATCACAAAGAACTAATTTAGAAGGGAAGATGACACAGTTTAAACACATTAAATTTCAGGTGACTTGGCCATGTGCAGTGGCTCACACCTGCAATCCCAGCATTTTGAGAGCCCGAGGCAGAAAGATCGCCTGAAGTCAAGGATTCAAGACCAGCCTGGGCAACATAGCAAGACCTTGTCTCTACAAAAATTTTTTAAAAATTATCCAGGCATGGTGGTGCACACCAGAGTAGTAGACCCAGCTATTCTGGAGGCTGAGGTGGGTGGCAAGCCATGAGCATGCCACTGCACTCCTCCCTGGGCTATGGAGTGAGACTCTGGCTCAAAATAATAATAAAAAAAATTTTCAGGTGACCAAGAAACACCTAATAAATGCTGCCTTATTCTGTTTAGGATAATATAAAATATATCATAGACTTGGTGACTTATAAACAAGAGAAATGCATCTGTCAAATTTCTGGAGGCTGGGAAGTTCCAAGATCAAGATGCTGGGCAGATTCAGTGTCTGGCGTGACCCACTTTCTTGCTGCATTTTCGCATGGTAGAAGGGGAGGGGTTTTCTCTTGGCCTCTTTTATAAGGGCACTCATCCTATTTATGAGGGTTCTCCTCCCCTGACTTAATTACCTCCTAAAGGCCTCATAGTATCACTTTGGTGGTAAAGATTTTAACATATGAATTGTGGGGGAATATAAACATTCAGACTACAGCAAACACCCAGTTGGCAATAAGATACTTGGGTCTGAAGGTCTGACAAGATATCTCTGTACATGAGATGTCAATTTAGAAGTCATATAAATGTGAAGTATAATTATAAAACCAGGAAAGTGAGTAAGTCACATAATAAGTATAGGCAGACTAAAAACACAACAACAGAACATACTTTTGAGGAGCCGCAGCATTTAGGTGATGAGCAAAGGAAAAGAAGCCTATAAAGGAGACTCAGAAAAAAACTATAAAGTAGGAAGAAGATCAAAAGATTATGTAATCACAGAAGCCCAAAATGGCAGCAATTCAATCAGAAGAGATATTCACCAATATCAAATAAGTTGTAGCTATTCTTCTTATTCAAATAAAGGAAGAATCAATATGTGTCTATTAAATTTAATAATACACCTGTTATTGACTGTGTTAGGCTGGATTCTCCAGCAACAGACCCTGAGATGAGAACTCAGGTGTAAGTGAGTTTCTTTTTTTTTTCTTTTTTTTTTGAGTTGGAGTCTCACTCTGTCGCCCAGACTGGAGTGCAGTGGCCGCTCCCAGCCACCGCAGCCTCGACCTGCTGGGCTCCGGCCATCCTTCCGCCTCAGCCTTCCAAGTAGCCGGAATTCCAGGCATGCGCTACCACGCCCGGCTGATTTTTTGATTTATTGTAGAGATGAGGTCTCGCTGCCCAGGCGAGTCTCGAACCCGTGGGCTCAGGCAATCCACTCACCTCGGCCTCCCAAAGGCAAGGGATTACAGGCTGAGCCACCGACTAGCCACCCAGCTAGTGTAAGTGATTTTCTAAGAATGTGCTTCAAGGCTGGACGTGGTGGCTCATGCCTGTAATTCTACTTTGGCAGGCCAAGGCAGGAGAATCACTTGAGGCCAGGAGTTCGAGATCAGCCTGGGAAACATAGCAAGCCGCTATCTTTACAAAAAATATAAAAATTAGCTAGGTGTGGTAGCATGCATTGGTAGGCCTATCTACTCAAGAGGCTGAGGCAAGAGGCTCATTTTAGCCCAGGAGTTGGAGGTTGCAATGAGTATCATCATGCCACTGCAACACAGCTTGGGTGACAGAACAAGGCCCTGTTTCTCTAAAAAGGAAAAAAAAAAAAAGCTCATTAGGGTAGGTCTTAATCCAGATGACTGCTGTCTGCATAAGAAGACAACGTGAAGACACACAGAGAATACCATATGACAAAAGAAGCAGAGACCAGGGTGATGGAACTGCAAGCCAAGGACACCATGGACAGCCACCCTTAGAAGCTAGGAAGAAGCAAAGTAAGAGTCTCCTTTGTTCGTTTCAGAAGGAACAAGGCCCTATCAACACCTCCATTTCAGCTTCTAGCTTCCAGTACTGTGAGACAAACATTTTCTATTGTTTTAAACCATGGAGTAGGTGGTGTTTTTTATAACAGCCCTGGAAATGAATATATTCCAGCTATTAATAATTACATAGTCTGGAGAAATCTTCCCTTCTTTCAGGATTACCATGGCAGAAAAGAATTACAAGATGTCTATGAAAGAAAAAAAAAAACCACAGAAAAAATGGAAAAGAAAACCATCCAAGAAAGCAAAATGTAAAATATACCTCTGAAATGATTTACTACAGGATTCATGAGAAAGTTTCAGGAAAATAGCTTCCATACAAGAATACAAAGAATTTACACCTTCACTATCTGCTTTTCAGAAACATGAGACAATAACTAGACTAAGTGTATTTTTAAAAAATATTTTGTATTTATAAAATAAAGTGATACTAAGTTACCTGACTGAAGTCCAAAAAAAAGTTCCTCATCTTGAAGTAGTTCTTGAACACAATCTAATCTCATGTTAATGGTTTCAATATCAACTAGAGGTTCCAATATATTAGAACGAAGTCTTCTACTCCCTCCAGGAGTCTTAGTATAATTTAGAACACCAAAGAGAGTGTGATTACTCCTTTGAAAACACAAGTTAGAAACTGTCATTAGGTAAACAAAGGAAAATCCAGGAAAACTGCATTTTAACTTCATAATTCAATAATCCTATAATCTACACCATTGATTCTCTAACTTTATTGTACATACAGATAACATGGGATTCTAATTCAGTATGTCCAAGATAAATTATGAGAACCTACATTTTGAACAAGCTCCCAAATACGCTGTCAGTGAACCACACTTAGATTAACAAGGATGGACCATATCTCTTTGCACTTAATGATTTTTTTCCATAGATCAGTTACAATATTCCGACTAATACAAAGTTTTCTAATCCGTGACGTTCCATCAATAATATCAAGATGCCAACAATATATCTTTACGGGGGGCACTTTTACATTGATAAAATGAGTGTTTAATTTAAACACCTTGTTCTAATTTAAGAAATCATAGAAGAATCACAGATAAAATAGAATTTCATGATTTCTAAGTGATTCTTATAAAGAAAACATTTCATTGTACAATTTTTAGACAATTATGATCACCTGTAAAAAATCTGGTTAATCTTAATATTCAACAAATATTTATTGACCCCTTAAGGTACTCAAAACTCTATGCTAAGCACTGGGCATACAGGATAAACATGATTCCTACCTTCATGGGCCTTACATTCTAGTGGCCAATTGCCAATATCTTTGATCAGTTTACTGGCCATGACTAAAGACAGAAAAAGGGGGGACACTTCCAAGATGGCAATTGAGTCAGTCAGGAAGCGTGCATCTCTGCATAAATGAGTGGGCACAGGGACAAATATGTATGCATGTCAGTAAGTAGCTGTAAGAGTGTCTGACTGAGTGGGGACACAGGAACAAGTGGTTTGAGCTCTCCTGCTGAGGTGGCTACCCTATGTAGCTACTCAAGACTCAACACATTCCACAGCCCAGAGGCAGGCGCCATCTCTGCGACCCTACCCAGAAGAAAGTGCCACCCACTGCCAGTGCCTCCCACAGACTTCAGCACCAGATTGAATATTGGCAGTGGAGAAAATACACCAGAGGAACTAGTTGCCAAGTCCTAGCAGAGGACAAGACACAGAGACATCCCTACAGTCTTAGTCCTGGTAACAGGGCAGACACAGGCTCCGGTCTGCCCATGTGAACAGCATGGCTACTCCCTGAGGCTAAAGGGTGAATTCAGCACCTCTCTGAAGCTGACCAATGCCAACCCAGAGAGGACACCCTGGGTGCAGTAAGCCCAGAGGGACAGACCCTGATGAGGACACTCAGGTGCCCCATCCCCCTCACTGAAACATTTGTGGTCTATAGCTGCAACTGGAGATGAAGCATCCAGTCTGCAGCAGATGAGTGGGGGTGAATTTTAAAGTGGCCCAGCTCCCTTTTCTCAGTGATTCACAAGACGTGTGATTCAGGTGGGGAGCATCCTGATCAGAGAGGGCTGAACACAAACATATCTGTTGAAGGCAGTTTGTAGTCTCTCCCAAACCACACGGTGAGCAGGGAACAGATCTAGAGGTTGGAGGCCTTCCCCTCTGCCACGAGCCAAGAGCAGTGGTACTTGGGTCACGTCAACAAGAAACTCGAAGTTTTTAAGGTTTTTTTGTTGTCGTTGTTTTCCCCTGGTCTCTCTATATAGCTTGCAAGGGGTGTGTGTATTTCATTTTGTTTTATTCCTTTGTCTTTGCCTTTTTTCACACAAGGGCATATACGAGTGTGAAAATGTCCTCATAGTGTCAGCTTTAGTTTGTCTATTTGTTGGCTTGTTTGTTTTTCCTTCTCTTCTTTGTTCTCTTCATTGTCTTTTCTTCTCCCTTCTCTCTTTCTTAGCTCCTTTTCTTTTCCTTATGTTATTTTGTACCCAGGGGAGACACATACATTCTCACTACATGGACATACTGTGCGAAGTGGGTCCCTGGGAGCCATACTCTAATCAGCAAATATTGTGATCTGCAGGCAATTTTTAAATCTTAGCACCCTACAACACACCTCATTCAATCTTAAAGCTGCAAAAGGGCAACACAGCTCCCCACCTCCAACCCAGCTTCAAAATGGAACAAATCCAGAGACTTTACCAAAGGGAGAATAGGGGGTTGAGTAAAAAGAAGTGAAAACTACCCCCTCTCTCACTGAGCAACGGAAGTAGAGAGAAAAGAAAAATCCATCACAAATGAAGAGAAATCAGCAAAAACAAAAAAACAAAAAACAACAACCACAGGCACCCCACAAAATCCAGAAAGGAGAGTGCATGAGAATACAGACTTCAGAATTCAAACAACAAAGAAGAGAGCCCAGATGGACTGGTTTCAGACCACAAATGCAGAGATCAAGGAATGGTTGGAAAAAATGAATAAGAACCAAGAAAGGCAAGACAAAAACATGAATTAATTACAGAGATGTAAGCTACAAAGAATATAGTCAATGAAATCAATAATAAACTGACAAGCATGGAAAGCAGAATTAAGCAGGCAGAAGAAAGAATCTCAGAAATTGAAGACCAAAATATGGAACTAACCCAATCTGTTAAAAACATAGAAAGGAAACTTTAAAAGATAGAACAAAGACTTCAAGAGATGTACGATTATATTAAAAGATCAAACTTACACCTGATTGGTATTCCTGAAGCAAAAAGGAGAATAAGAGCACCCTGGAACAAGCATTTCATGAAGTCATTCAAGCAAACTTCCCACATCTCATCAGAGACATGACCATCCAAACACAAGAGATTCAGAGAACCCATGCAAGGCATCAAATGAGAAGGCCAACTCCTAGACACATAGTAATTGCTTACACAAAGTAGATATAGAAGAAAAAATCCTAAAGGCAATGAGAGAGAAAGGTCAGACTACCTATGAAGAAAGACCAATTAGAATAGGAGCAAATTTATCTACAGAAACACTACCAGCTAGAAGAGACTGGAATTCAATCCTCAAAGTTTTCAAACATAAACAATTCCAATCAAGAATTTTCTACCCAGCTAAGTTTCATCGGTGATGGATCAAAATCTTTCCCAGATATCCAATCTCTAAGAGATGATACTGCCTACAGACCAGCTCTACAAGATACATTTAAGAAGATATTAATCAGAGAAGAAAGAAAAAAAAAAAAAGAATGACCACACTCTTCCCATGAATGCAGGAAAACAGAGAACCAACATAGCATGTATTGTGACTGCAAAATTGAAAACACACACATATATGGACCCAAATATCAAAAGAAAATTAACAAATGAACAAAACTCTGTAAGAGCTTCATGACAGGGATAAACTCTCACATCTCAATTATCAGCCTGAATGTCAATGAACTAAATGCACAACTAAAAAGACATAGAGTGGCAAACTAGATTTTTAAAAAATGACCCAACAATATGCTGCCTCCAGGAAACACATCTCACCAGAAAGAACACTCACAGATTCAAAGTTAGAGTATGGAAAACAAATTTTCAGGTCAATGGAACACAAAAGAAAGCAGGAGTCGTGATCTTAATATCAGACTAAACAACCTTTAAGCTATCAAAAAAAAGACCAAAAAAAAAAGAGTAGAGGGATATAAGCAATAAACATATAATCATATAATTTCAGGTACATAAACTACTAAAACAAAAAACAGGAATACATAGAAAATGACCGGGTTTGCTTTAGTTGGGTTGATTGAGAAACACCTATCTATGATTTGACGACTGAGTTGTGACTTGAATGATTAAAAAAAGGAGGCAGTAATGCAAAAATGAAGATGGAATGGGAATCACTACAATGATAATGATGACAGCTAACATATATTGAACACTTAGTATGTACCAGGAATTGTTCTAAATACTTTACATGTGTTAACTTGGTTAATTCTAATAAACACATTATGAGATAGACGCTATATAAGCCACATTTTATACCTGAAAGAACTGAAAACACAAGGAAAGTAACTTGTCCAAGATTTCCAAATAAGTAGAAGAGCTGCAATTTAAGCCCAGGAAGTCTAGCTCCAGAATCTGAAAGATGGAGGTTGGTGCTTTGCAAGTGGGGAGTAAGAATAGAGGAAAATGAATGAAGCAAGTCTACATAGGCCAGAAGACCTTGTAGGCCTACTGTAGGCCAAAGGATTTGGATTCTATTGTAAACATAATGGAAGCCACTGGAAAGTTTTAAACAGGAGAGTTGAAAGATATGAGTAATGGATTAAATTATCACATGTTGTTATTATTTTTTTGTTATTTACCACAAATTTTTTTTTAAACTTGATTTTGGTGAAGCTTCTGAGCAGTTCAGTAACAACAATACAATGATTAAAAATATGTTTATTCAACATTTCTCCATCATTAGCCAGGCACAGTGATACATGCCTGTATTCCCAACTTCTCTGGAAGCTAAGACAGGAGGATAGCTTGAGCCCAAGAGTTTGAGACCAGCATAGGCAATAGCAAAACCCTGTTACTTAAAAAAAAATTATCCATCAAGTAATTTTTAAAACTTTAAAGTAACTATTTATAAAAAATATATCATAGAAATATAGCAATATATTTTGTAATAAAAAATGGGATGATCTTACCTACAATCTTGATTATTAATTAACAATTCAAGGTTTTGGGCTGACGATGAATCTATCATGGCTGTCTGTTCACTGCCCTGGAAACAAATCTTCAGTGATTTTGGTGCGTAAACTGAATTTTGAATAAATTCAACATATTTTAACAAAGCTGCAAGAGCTGCAAGGCAGTAATACCTGTAAGGTGACCAATGATACACCACTGTAAGTCTTTAGTATAAAAAAAATCACTGCTATAAAAGGAAACATTTATTGCACCTTGAGAAAAATTATAATTGCATAGATTGCTTAAACTCAAAGGGAAAAAGTACACCAAGTGGTTATTTTTGAAAACTAGGTAAAAATCTCTAAATCGTGAAAACTGATCAAAATAGACACATCTTTGAAGCCTGACATTTATGGTATATATTAGAATCCAATTAATCCTTTGTGGGAAGACAACTTTCAATGGTAATTTGTGTCAATTTTTGATGTACCATTCTAAGTATTCAAATAATGTTGGAAAAGTCTGAGACTTTAAAGGTAGAATCAAAAGGTCTCAATGTATATGGTCTCGATGAGAATAATCTTTGTGATTAACTGAGTAAATAGGTGATCTACTCTGGGCTCAAAGAGAGTATCTATTTAGCAAGTTCTAAGATATCTGTTCTAAAAATATCATTCTCTGTCTCATGTTAAATATTTTAGGAGTAAAGATATGAAGTAACAGGAACACAGCTTTAACTGTTTTTTACTTCTATGCCCTCATGTTTCTAGTTTACTGTAGCTATTTGAGCTTTTCACTCCAAAGTATAGTGAGAAGCAACCATTAAGTCAGTAGATTATGACTAATTTGGACAAATGCTATATCAATCAAGTTAGCAATGTATGCTTAGTGCATACATTTTAGTTAACTATTTTACTATCTCAATAATTACTAAGTGTGTGCATGAGCCAGGAACTTTTCCAAGAAGTAGGGATACAGCAGAGAACAAAACAGACAACAGTCCTTATCTTTGTGGAACTCATACTATAGTATTATTTTCCTTAAATTGTGGCTTAGTTGATATCATGTTGTTAGCTGTGGGCTTATGAAAAATAAATAAATAACTTACTTGGATTGAACCTCCATTAGGACAGTGCTGAATTCTGCTATGCATAATTGCTCAATGTACTCTAATCCTTTTGTTTCATTGAAGTATTTCCTTTGAATAGTAGTGAAATTAACATTCTGAAAAGAAATTTTAATTTCAAAATAAATGTCTAAGTGCTATGCACTTGCTCAAAACTGTTTTAAACACATGCTTGCACATGGCTTAAATATGATAGCTTAAATATGGTTTAAAGCTTATTTATTAATGTTTTTAAATTTTAAATAACATTTCCTAGTTATTTATAAACAGAGAATGATTCTCCATCCTGCTAAGCGAATTATAGTACAGTCTGTAGCTCTTACTAGACTTTACTCTCTTGTGAAATTTAACTGAATTGGTTAGATACATTTTTAAAAATGAGAATCTATGCCGTTTAGTAATTTTATTCTATAGAAGTAACATCACACAGATTTTTACATTAATCCTTTCAGTCTGTCATAATTAAGAAAGGATAGATCCTTGTAATGTGCTAGGTGAAAAGATGAAAACGGCAATTCTACGTATCAAATCTATGATATACTATTTACATAAGTGGAATTAAATGTATTTAGAATAAAGAGAAAGATATAATGGAACTTTAAAAGAAAACAAGAAAAAAAAAGGACAAAGTTGTTGAGTAAAAAAGTTGAATAAAAGTAATGGGTATAAGAGGTAATATACCAGTGGACTGTGAAAGAGCTGTTAAGACTGAAAAAAAACATAAGCAAACAAAGAACTTATGTACCGAGATTGTTTTAACAATTATCTAATTTAATCTTAACAATAATTCTATAAGTCTCATTAACTCCAAGTTTCCTACAAATAAAATTCTGAAAAGTACTTTTTCTAATGTCATACAGTTGATATGTACCAAAGCTGAGTTTCAAATTTAGACTCCTTTGACTATGAAGTTCATGTTCCTTCCACTTCATATTACTTTCAATTTAATGAAGATCTTTTCATGTTTTTAAGAGCTAGGGTCTCACTATGCTGCCCAGGCTAGATTCAAATTCCTGGACTCAAGTGATCCTCCCCTCAGTCTCCCAAGTAGCTGTGACTACAGGGGTATGTCATGCTCTGTGCCTGGTTAATGAAGGTCTTTTTATGGTAAGTATGGTAATAATAGTAGTAAGGACAATAATATTATTGATTTTTCTCTCTGCTTAAAATACTTTTACCTCACTTCTTATACTTTTACATCACTCTTTACTCCCTTCACACCTTTCAGGACTTTGTCCAAATGCAACCTTGTCAATGAGGCCATCTCTGAATACCCTATATAAAATATCAATTCTCTAGGAGTTAAGTGCTATTATTGCCCCTAATTTACTGATGAAAAGAAACTGAAGATAAAAGAGATCAATTACTTTATACAAGGCCACTCACAGTCAGGACTTGAAACTGACAATCTAGGACAACCTTACTCCTCTATTATTTTTTTTGAGTTGGAGTCTCGCTTCGTCACCCAGGCTAGAGTACAATGGCATGATCACCCAGCTCACTGCAGCCTCAGTTTCCTAGACTCAGGCAATCCTTCCAACTCAGCTTTCTGAGTAGCTGGAACTATAGGCACGTGACATCCACCTAGTTAATAAAAAAAAAAATTTTTTTTTGTAGTGACGAGGTCTTGCTATGGTGCCCAGGCTGGTCTCAAACCCCTGGCCTCAAGAAATCCTCTCACCTTGGCCTCCCAAAGTGCTAAGATTACAAGGATGAGCCACCATGCTCAGCCTGACTATTCTTAAGCACTATGTTATACTGCCTTACTCAAATGTACTGAAATTGTGCTGTTTTTGCCTTTGGATGACTTATCCCATATTCCATGTGATTCTGGTCGGCCTGTCAATTGTTATCTCAGGGTAAAAAGCACATATCCTAGGATTAATCAATCATAGGGTGCCGCTATCTAAATAGTGATTAGTCTAATGTGTAGGAAAATGAATAACGTAGGATGAATCAACATCCTCCCCTGGAATATATACAGACACTGAAAAAAAGTTATTTTTCCTCTGGGTTAACTGAGCTGAGATGACATCAGCATGGAGCCATCAGCAATTATCTTCTTAAACCTCACAGAGGTAACATATCTGCTGTAGAAAAAATATGGTACCGGGGAGGAGGGTAGTGACAACAATTCTCTCCTTGACCAAACTCTACCCAGGTTCCTGTGAGCCTTCTTCTCAACTAGGCCTTGACCTTGGCCAAGAAAAGACTTGAATAAAACTAACATTGCTTCTAATTGCTCATAGCCACATCCCTAGGCTGGCCCTAGCCTCTCTTCAAGTGCCCGCCTAAGAAAATGCAGGCTGCCGAAAAAATGTACTGTTTATTCCAGCCAACTCTAAAGACAGGGCCTTGGTCTCCCATCCTCCATGAGACAGTAAAGCCAAACTTCAGTAGGTACCAGTTAGCAAACTCAGATGAATTTCACATGAACCAACTCCATCTTGTTGTTTTTTGTAAGTTTTCATTTTCCTGACTCTACTGAGCCTCCATTCACCCATTTCTAGTCCTTCATTCTCTCTTTAAAATGCCCAGTTACATTAGCTGGGTATGGTGGCATAAGCCTGTGGTTCCAGCTAATTGGAAGGCTGAGGCGGAAGGACTGCCTGAGTCCAGCAGGGTGAGGCTACAGTGGCTGTGAGGAGTGTATCCCTGAACTCCAGCCTGGGTGACACAGTGAGACTCCGACTCAAAACACAAAACAAAACAAATAAAATGACCGGTTACCTCTGTACAAATTAAAGTTCAGTTCCCACTGGACTCTTCCCTATTATAATAGTATATTACAGATCTCTAAGCCCACCACAACAAACCATATATGACTGAAGATGCTGAATATATTAAGAACAAGAAAGGAACTCACTGGATTCTAAATCTCAGCTTGGTTCCAAATGTGTTAAAGTAAAAGATAAGTCTACAAACACAGCTGGGCTCAGTGGCTCATCCCTGTAATCCCAATGACTGAGAAGGCTCAGGCAGGAGGATTGCTTGAGACCAGGAATTCAAGAGAAGTCTGGGCAATATAGTGAGACCCTGTATCTACAAAAAATGTTTTAAAATTAGCAGGGTGTGGTGGCATACACCTGTAGTCCTAGCTACTTGGGAAGCTAAGGCAGGAGAATTCCTTAGCCCAGGAGTTCGAGCTATAATCATGCTACCATGCTCCAGCTTGGGAAACAGAACAGTAACTTGTCTCAAAAAAAAAGTCTATAAACATAGCAAAATATAGTATATTCCGAAAATAATTTGCACTGCAAAGGAATTATTCCAATTACTGTCCCCATTCTACCAAACAGGGACATTTGTTAGCGGGAAGAAATAAGCTCCATGTTGGGAAGGCCCTGACTAAGGAGGAGAGCACTTGTTGGAAAAGGCTCCACAGCTCCTAAGTGTCACAGTCACACAGGTGGAGGTTAGAGGAGCAGGCTAATTGTGAGGCAGTACATGTTGCCAGGGGAAACTGAAACAATTCCATAACACAGGTTAAATTCTCTGGAGAAGAGAGTACTTGCTGACAGCTGCTATCCCGAGAGGATGAGAACTTCAATTTCAAGCAATCTGACAGCACAATAACTAGTTTCCAGAAAGCCACACCTAAAGACACCTATGCTTTCTCTCAAGGTCCATCCCTTGTACACTCTGAGAAATCTCCTTATTACTTCAAACATTTTTTTCTTTTGTTTAAAGTAGATCAAGTGTACCAAATCAAATAAGTGAATTTCCTATCTCTATTAATAGTCCCTTAAATTACGATTTGTATTTAGTGTCTACTTTAGGGCACTAACTATAAAGTTACTCAAATTAAAATTAAATAAAGTAATTATGGGGTTTTTTTGAGGTGGGGTCTCACTCTGTTACCCAGATTAAAGTGCAGGGAGTCACGGCTGCACTCTTGGGCTGAAGGAATCTACCCTCCTCAGCCCCCTGAGTAGCTGGGAGTAGAGGCATGCACCACCATACTGATTAATTTTTTTAGTTTTTGTAGAGACAGTGTCTCACTATGTTGCCCAGGGTGGTCTTAAACTCCTAGGTTCTTAAATTCTTGGCCTTGACCTCCCGAAGTACTGGGATTACAGTCATGAGCCACTGCATGCTGTTAGTTAAATCTTGAATGTTACTATCAAGAACAAATGTCACTTACCTTGAAATTTTCTGTGATCAGAGTAAACAACTTCGTTGAGTTACCCACAACACAAGCAGTATTTGACATTATTATTTCCAAAGGATACAAAATTTTGAGTTTAGTGATCACCTGCAATCATTTGAATAAACAATTTCTTTTATATAAGGTTACGGTTGTCTCTTAAACAAAAAAGCTTCATAATTTTCTGAGATAAGTATTTAAAATTAATTTATAAATACAATAATAAGGAGGTAGTTCCACCAAACATGATGCAAACAACATGATGCGACAATCCTGTGTACAACCAAAACAGCACTAATTCCTTGCCTAGAATTCAGCCTTCAGAATTTCAACATTTGGGATTTCTGTCTTTTGCGTTTTAATCTTTCAAGATTTCACATCGGGATTATGGCATCTGGGATTGTGTCTTTCAGGGTTAGGGTCATCACTGCGCTGCCCCACACATCACCTCTGGAATTAGTCCAGAAATGAAGAGGTTAATTTTAGAAACCAATATTGACAGTAATTTTGAAACAATCACGTACCAGTAAAACATACTCCTTTTAGAAATATATAAATATATAAACACTTCATATATATATATATGCATTTTTTTTTCCTCAAAAAAAAAAAAAAAAAATCCCCCGAAACCAGAGTCACACTTTGTGGCCCAGGCTAGAGTCCAGTGGCACAATCTCAGCTCACTGCAGTTTCAACCTCCCTGACTCAAGTGATCCTTCCACCTCAGTTTCCTGAGTAGCTGGGATTACAGGCATGTGCTACCATGCTCGACTGATTCTGATTTTTTATAGAGATGAGTCTCACTACATTACCTAGGCTGATCTTGGACTCCTGGGCTCAAGCATTCCTCCTGCCTCGGCCTCCCAGAGTGCTGGAATTACAGGCATGAGACCTGACACCCAGCCAAGAACAGAATATATTTTTAAAATAAAAATCAGACAGAAAACAATCACATTTTATTTTATTTTTTTTGTTTTTTTGTTTTTTTTTTTTTTGAGTTGGAGTCTCACTCTGTCGCCCAGACTGGAGTGCAGTGGCCGCTCCTGGCCACTGCAACCTCAACCTGCTGGGCTCCGGCGATCCTTCTGTCTCAGCCTTCCAAGTAGCCAGAATTACAGGCATGCGCTACCACGCCCGACTGATTTTTTGATTTATTGTAGAGATGAGGTCTCGCTGCCCAGGCGGGTCTCGAACCTGCGGGCTCAGGCCATCCACTCACCTCGGCCTCCCAAAGGCGCGGGATCACAGGCTGAGGCACCGAGCCCGGCAACAATCACATTTTAACTGAGTATTTATATGGAAGTAATCATGGACAGTTTTTATTCTAACAAAAAGTAAACTAACTAGGAAAGAACTGACTTGAAAGTCTGCACACCACTAGATCAACCATTCCCTAGGAACAGTAACACTTACCTTCGCATATGTTGTACTATCTGCAAACTGTGACAATATGATTTGCGGGCTTCTGAAGTCAATGCTTGCCATTCCTATTTCACCTCTGGCAAGTCCTCTCCCTTCTACAACAGCTACAATAACTGACGGGGAGTGTGTAGAAGCTGCAGATGAGGATGTAGCTGGATGTTTTCAAATAAGAAAATATGTAAACATTAATAATAATCATTTCTAATTCTTTCACATAAGAATAAACCACCTAGTCTAGGTCTTGGGCACTATATCAAAAACAAAGGAAACGTTTTTTTCTTTTCCTCATCAAAAAATAACTTTTTTTTCCAGCTGGATGCAGTGGCTCATGCCTGTAATCCCAGCACTTTGGGGGGCTGAGGCAGGAGGATCTCTTAAACCCAGGAGTTTAAGACCAGCCTAGGCAAGATAGCAAGACTTCGTCTCTATAAATAATAATGATGATGATAATAATAATAACTTTTCATTATCCAAGCCAAATAAAAAATGCTAATTCTCAACGTATTTTTCCAAAACTTAACTTCACATATAGAAATAACAAATTTATACACTGTCTTATTTTGGATTTTATTGGAATAGAGTCATAAAAGGAACATCATACATACTAGAAAAATTAGATTATTTACCTTACTCTGTCATTTAAAAGCTCTTTGAATCTGGATAAATCATTTCATAATAAATAATCATACATCAAAAAAGATGATGTAGCTTCAGATGATGTAATACCAGCAATTTGGGAGGTGGAGGCAAGAGGATTGCCTGAGCCCATGGGCTCGAGACCAGCCTGGGCAATATGGCAAGACCTAGTCTCTACAATAAATCAAAAAATTAGCTGGGTGTGGTAGGGCGTGCCTGTAGTTCCAGCTACTTAGAAGGCTGAAGCGGAAGGATCACCTGAACCCAGTAGGTCAATGCTGCAGTGGCCATGAACATGCCACTGCATTCCAGGCTGGGCAACAGAGTGAGAGACTAAAAAAATAATAATATAAATATAATGTAATAGCTATCCTATCTAACTCAAGAGCTGACTGAAAAGATCAAATGGGATTATATTAATATATGACTTTACTGCATAAAGATTAAACATTATACAACTATGAACTTCATATATGATAGCTATGTAATGTTGAAATAAAAATTACTTTTAATTTAACAAAAATTACACTTTTAATTTAATAAAAACTAAACTTTTCCACAAGGTTTTTATAAGAATTACATGCAATAATATAGAAGTGCTTTATAAAGTATATAAAATTAATTATAGGGCATTGTTCACGCATGAAAAAAGTCAGACTAAAAACATCTAAGACTTTACTTAAATTAACTAATTTAATTGTCACAACAATCCTATCAAGTAGACACCATTATTTCTTCCATTTACTTACAAAGAGACCAAGGCATGGATGGAACTGGTAGGGACAGACTTTGCAGCCAGGCAATCTTGCTAGAGTTGGTGCTTTGAACCATTACATATACTGCTTGATTTTGAGATCTGTGCCTTAAAAATTATCAATGCTCAGGTACATTTTTTTAAACACTTTAAAGCTATTATTTCTTCATCTGTAAATTTAAAATACCAAACTTTTCCATAAGTTTTTTTTTTTTTTAAAGCAAGAATTATTGAAGCCGGGCTCAGTGGCTCAGCCTGTAATCCCGTGCCTTTGGGAGGCTGAGGTGAGTGGATGGCCTGAGCCCGCAGGTTCGAGACCCGCCTGGACAGCGAGACCTCATCTCTACAATAAATCAAAAAATCAGCCGGGCGTGGTAGCGCATGCCTGTGATTCCGGCTACTTGGAAGGCTGAGGCGGAAGGATCGCCGGAGCCCAGCAGGTCGAGGCTGCGGTGGCCAGGAGCGGCCACTGCACTCCAGTCTGGGCGACAGAGTGAGACTCCAACTCAAAGAAAAGAATTATTGAGAGAACAGAAAAGCTCCCAGAGTGGGAGGGGACCCGAGGGGTTGCCCTCCACAAGGTTTTTATAAGAATTACATGCAATTATATAGAAGTGTTTTATAAAGTATATAAAAGTAATTATAGGGCATTATTCACATATGAAAAAAGTCAGACTAAAAATATCTAAAATTTTATTTTCAAAGAGGCAGACTGGTCTTTTATTCCCTTGTCAACCTTTTAATTAACTCTATTTCCTCTCCTTTTCCTCCCTAACCTAGATTCCTTTTTTCTTCTACTATTACAATTCCTCAAAAATAATTTAAATATTTCATGTCATCTGAGTCAGTAGTCAACTTAAGGGTTAGCTTAAAAATATATGCGTTTAGATCTCAGAAATCTTTTCCCCATGAATACTATGTTATAAATGGTGACTAAGTTTACATTCTACCTACAGTCATTTTAAGCTCGGCAACAGAATATGACCTTCCTATTTTCAGCTGGAAACTAAAAACAAAATACCAGTGGGATTATAGGCTGAGCCACCGAGCCCGGCATATGTGTACTTTTTAAAAGCACTATTGAAATTGAATATCACTTAATATATCCACTTGTTATCAATATGGTGTCTTTTGAGAGCTGTTTATATCCTTTGATACAGTTTTTCCTAGGTCTTAATGTTTTAAATGTTTTATGAGAATTTTATAAATCAGTGACAATAATTTATATTTGCTACCAATCTAGATTTTTGATATTGCAAAAATAGAAATTTTTGCAAAGATAATCATTTCCTGTATAATTTATTTCATTGCTTTTCTGCTAAGATACTTCTCCTTCACTGAAATAGTTTATATTCATTCTTATTTTCTTCTAATCTATTGAGTTTTTTGGTTCATTTGGATCCTTCATCTGGGCAGAACTTTGAACATTTGGTTGTCTACCATGTCTGGAAGGAGCAACGGCCAGAAGTACAGATTTAGATGCATTCATAAGAAATTTCTAATGGTTTACTGGAATGGTTAGGGACTTAATTCAAGGAACAGGATTGGAAGATTGGTGATAAGAAAATTGGAGAACGGAATATGTGAACGGATCTCTAAGAATGAGCACAAACTGAAAATATGTATGTCCCATGTGAATACCCACCAAAGGATGTCCACTATAAAGGATACTCTTAATTATCAGATAGACAAACTTACATACTCTATGATAACAGTAAGCCTCCATTTCAATTTTCCCTAAAAGGATCTATTGATTCAGTACAAAAGTAATTTCAATCAAAACCTCAGTTTTTGGGGTTTTTTTTTGGTTTTTTTTTTGAGTTAGAGTCTCACTCTGTCACCCAGGCTGGAGTGCAGTGGTACGCTCACGGGCCACCCTAGCCTGACCTGCTGGGCTCAGACAATCCTTCCGCCTTAGCCTTCCAAGTAGCTGGAACTACAGGTGCATGCTACCATGCCTGGCAAATCATTTTTTTTTTAATTGTAGGGACGAGGTCTTGCCAAGTTACCCTGGCTGGTCTCGAACCCGCGAGCTCAGGCAATCCACTCGCCGTGGCCTTCCAAAGTGCTGGGATTACAGGCTGAGCCACCAAACCCGGCCAAACCTCAGTATTTTTTGATGAACCTTGATAAACTGGCCCAAAATGTATATGTAAGAGCAAAGGACCAAGAAGAGTCAAGACTCTTCTAGAGAATAAAGTTGATTGTGGAGAGTAAGAGTGGGAGAACTGTCCTACTAAGTATCCAGATATAAAGCTAAGGATGGTGTGATATTAACAAAGAGACAGACATAATGACCCATGGCAGTTAATAGAGAGCTAGAAATAGAGACAGACCTAGAAAAATCATTAAAAGATGTAGTATTCAGAATGTATGAAGAACTCCTACAAATTCAGAATAAAAATAAAGAAAAATGGGCAAAAAATACATGAACATTCATTTCACAGAAAATTAACCAATATATCAAGACCTCATCTTTACAAAAAATCCAAAAAATCGCCAGGCTTGTGCCTGTAATCCCAGCTATTCAGGAGGCTGAGGCAGAAGCATTGCCTGAGCCCAGGAGATAGAGGCTGCAGTGAGCCATGATTGTGCCATTGTGTTCCAGTCTGGGTGACAGAGAGAGATGCCCACTCAAAAAAAAAAGAAAGAAAAATAAAATAACCCAATTTGCTATTGTCTTGCAAATATATGCATTTACATACTCTGTAAGCAGGAAATTCTGTTGGATGTGCCCCAGAGAACTATTACACATGAAAATCTACTTCATCCATTTACTCCTCAAGAAAATCTAGATTTAGATTAAAAATTCAAACTTAAGTATTAGAAAAAAAAAATCACTCAACCGTATCATCATGATAAACTTTTATATTTAAATGTACATCATGTATAAATGGAGAAGTTTCTCTTTTCTGTGTTTTTGGTCAGAAGGGCTAAAATAACGTAGACCTGCATTTATTAACAAACAATATTAGAAAATATGTAGATTTATTAACCTAGCCTCAAATTATGGATACAGGTAAATGGATGTGTTTATCTTTCAATCATCCATATCAGTTATAGGTAAATTCAAATGAACTTAACAACACTAATTTATAATTCACAAAACTTTAAAATTTCAAAAGATCATCTAGGTTAATCTTCTACTCATTATACCTGAATATCCTATTTCTGGTGTCCGGCTTTTATAACCTAATCTCTGGTGATTTCCAGCAGACAATGGTGTTTTAAATACTTGAGGATACTTGGTATCTCGTGCAGAAGATGAGCTTGTGTCAAGAGTGAAACTGGACGGAACTGTGTTTTCTGCATAAGCTCTTTTGTTTCCAAAGTATGAACCTAAATGGGAAAAGTGTCATTTCTTAAATATTTGGATTATACAGTGATGTTTCAATCACTGTAACTTATACCACATTCACTTTCTGTAAAATGCTATCTGATTTTAAAAATATATAACAAATTATGGCAAATTCAGTGACATTTTTGATAATCATATACTAAAATATGCTAATATGGTTTTTGATTCTACAAGTTCACTAAGACTCTTGCAAAATTATAAGTTACCCACTAATTTTCAAATACTCCAGATTTACTGCTATGGTTTAAATATCTGTCCCCTCCAAAACTCCTGTTGAAATTTAATCCCCAATGTGGTAGTATTAAGAGCTGAAATCTTTAAGAGGTGATGTGTCATGAGAGTTGTCTTCATGAGTGGATTAACCCATTCAAGAATTAATGGATTAAAGAGTTATCATGAGAGTGGATTAAAGAGTTATCATGAGAGTGACTCTGTAAGAAAGGGAAGAAGCGGCCAGGAATGGAGGCTCATGTCTGTAATTCCGCTCTTTGGGAGGCCAAGGTGGGAGGATTGCTTGAGCCCAGGAGTTTGAGAGCAGCCTAAGCAACACAGCAAGAGCTCATCTTTAAAAAAAAAAAAAAAAAATCAAAGAAAAACAAATCAGGCCTGGTGGCACACACCTGTAGTCCCAGCTTGGGAGACTGAGGTGGAAGGATCACCTGAGCCCAGGAGGTCGAGGCTGAGGTGAGTGGAGATGATGCCATGGCAGTCCAGCCTGGGTGACAGTGATTCAAACAGGAATTAACAGTGAAGAGAGGCCTGAGCCAGCATGCTCAGCAACTTTTTCAGGTGATGACGTGTGCTACCTCAGGACCCTGTTGAGTCCCTGCCAGCAAGAACGCTGTCACCAGATGTGCCTCCCTTGTCCTTGGACTTGCCAGACTCTGGACCTGTAGGAAATAAACTGCTGCTTTATAAATCACTCAGTTTCTGGTATTCTATCACAAGCAACAGAAAACAAGCTAATATAGAAAATTGGTACTGAGGAGTAGGGTGCTGCTGTAAAGATAGCTGAAAATGTGGAAGAAGTTTTGGAATTGGGTAATGGACAGAGGGCTGGGCAAATCTGGAGGAGCAGCCTAGAGAAAGCTGAGATTTGGATGAGGTCTTAGAAGACACAAAAGACTAGGGAAATTTGAATTGGTTAGGTAGAATTGACCAAAATACTGACAGAAATATGGACAGTGAAGGTCAGCCCAACCAGGCCTCAGATGAAATTTTTGAACAAGGTACTGGAACCTGAAGCAAAGGCCATCCTTGTCCTAAACTGACAAAGAATGTGGCTGAATTGTGCCCATGCCCAAGGGTTCTGTGGAAGGCCGAACTTGACAGTGATGAACTGGGGTATCTGGCGAAGACATATCCAAGCAGCAAAACATTCAGACTGCTGCATGGCTACTTTTAACTCCTTATGTTAAGCTGTGAAAGAGGGGGAAAAAAATACTTGAAGATGGAATTTATAATCAAAAGAGAAGCAAAGTGGAAAAATTTGAAAAATTCTCAGCCTGGCCATGTAAGAGTAAAAAAGTATGTTTGGTACAGGAAACTAAGTGTGTAGCCCAGCTACTGTTTGCTAGAGATTAGCATAAATAGAATGAAGCTAGGGGCTATTCCACAAGACAATCAAAGACCCCAAAGGCATTTCAGAGATCTCTGAGGCTGCCCCTCCCATCCCAGGACCAGCAGCCTCAGGGGACAGGCTCATGGCTTGCTGCCCAGGGTGACCTTGGGACTCTGCTGTTCACGTTCCCAGCTGTGGTTCAAGCAGCCCCATGTGCAGAATGGCCCACCACTCAAGAAGATACAAGCCATAAGCTTTGGTCGTATCCACACGGTGTTTATTCTTTTCTACAGAAAACAATAGTTGTAGAGGTTTGGCAGGCTCCACCCAGATCTCAAAGTATGTCACAGGAGGCCTGGGGACCCAGGCAGAGAATTGTCATGAGGGCAGAGCCAGCACAGAGGGCCCCTAAGATGGAATACCGAGCAGAAGTGTGGAGTTAGAGCTGCTGAGGAGAGTCCCCACCAGGGCAATACCCAACAGTCATGAGAGAGAGGTCACTGCGAAGAGTCCCAACTAGGACTAGTGGAATCATGAGAGCAGGACCATCACTGGGGCTTTCAGAACCATGAAGTCACTGGGAGCGTGCAATACCTCTCTGGAAAAGCTTCAGACTCTGGACTCTAATCTGTAGGAGTAGCCATGTGGCCTGCACCCCAGAAAATCAGAGGGATAGGGCTGCCTGAGGTCTTAGGGGTCCAACCTTTGCTCCCCATATGTCCAGGAGGCAGCACACAAATTCAAAACAGATGATTCCCCAGCTTTAAGATTTAATGTTTGCCCAAGTGGGTTTTGAACTTGCTTGAAGTCTGCCATTCCTTTTTTTTTGTCTTTTTATCTTCCTTTAGTGATAGCAATGTCCATCTTATGCCTAAACCACCATTGTGTCTTCAAAGTAGGTAACTTATGTTGATTTTCTAATATCATAGATGAGACTTTGGTTATTGAACTTCTGAGTCTGTGCTGGAATAAGTTAAGACCTTGAGACTATGAGGATGGAATAAATGGATTTGTATTTGAGGAAGGCATGAGTTTTGAGTAGCCAGAGCTGAAATACTATGGTTTGAACATCTGTCTCCTCCAAAACTCATGTTGAAATTTAATCCCCAATGTGGCCATATTGAGAGGTGGGCCTTGAAGTGGTGATGGGTCACCAGGGCTTTGCCTTCATGAATGGATTCATGAATTAATAGGTTATCATGAGTGACTTTATAAAAAGAGGGAGAGAGACCCTCTAGTATGCTTAGGTCTTTCTCCTTGTGATGTCTTGTGATACTTCAAGACTCCACAGAGACCCCAACAGCAAAAAAGACCCTCACCAGAAGTGTCCCCTTTGACCTTGGACTTCTCAGTCTCCAGACCTAAGAAATACAGTTTGTTTCCTTATAAATTACCCAGCTTCGGGTATTCTGCTATAAACAACAGACTAAGTCATATGTTTGTGTGCTTATTAGACTTCTTTTTCTCTGTTAACTTCATTGAGATTCTCTCCTCCTGTGCAAATGGCATTATAAAGAGAGTTTTAGACACATGGCTTTAGCTCCTTATTTGGGTACCTATTGATATATTACCTATTTCACAGGGTTGCCATAAATGTACATAGACAACCTAGCATAGTGCCTTGGCACATAGAAGTTCTAAAAAAAAAGTTTGGGCTCTTTTTTCCTATTCCCTTTGATTTCTACAATAACTCTCTACCTTGCTTCTCTTTAAACCACTTTTAGTTTCCTTTTCTGAATCCTTTTCTTCTGACTCTTAACTGTTGGCCTCTAGGGTTCCATACTTTTAAATTTTCTCTCATAAATAACAATATACATTTTCTCTGGGCATTTCATCTGTTCTCCTAGTTTCTATTAACATCTGTTTCCTAACAATTCTCAAACCTTCATATATAGCTGTAGCTACTCTGTTTACACAGTAATAGACCAGGGGCTGGTAAACATTTTAATAAAGAATCAGATAGCAAATATTTTAGACTTTGCGGGCCATAAAGTCACTGCCACAATTACTCAACATTGACATTGTATCAGGAAAGTAGTCATAGAAAATATGTAAAATATGTAATAGGAATGCCGATTTCAATAAAACCTTATTTCTAGATACTAATTCTGAATTTCATATAATTTTCATGTCACAAAATACTATCCTTCTTTTGATTTTTCATGGCTGGACATCCTTTAAAAATGCAAAAACCATGCTTAACTCTCTATCTGCACTGTTCAATAAAGTAGCCACTAACAACATGTGACTATATACTCAAATCAAAATAAAATACAATTAAAAATCCCATTCTTCAGTCACACTAGTCACATTTCAAATGTTCAAAAGCCACATCTGGCTACTAGTTACCATATTGGACAGCACAGATGTGGAACATTTCTATCATCACATAATGCTCTATAAGACAGCATAGCTCTAGGTCACTATATCTAACTCTTGAATATAAACCTCTAGATATTTTTCCAGAACTTCTAAATGTTCAAAAACAACTCATTATCTTTCTCTCAAAAGTTATTCTTTATTTCTAGTTATGGTCAGTTGTATCACCCTGTATCCTGTTGCCCAAGTCATGAACTTAGGGAGCCATTCTGAACTCTACTTTCATCAATCCTAACAATCAGTGGTCAAGTCCTATAATTCTTTTTTTTTTTTTTATCTTCTTTTGAAAAGTGTCTATTCATGTTTTTGCCCACTTTTTAATGGGGCTGTTTGTTTTTTTCCTTTCAGCATGTTTGAGTTCCTTGTAGCGCCTAGATGATAGGCCTTTGTCAGATATGCAGTTGACAAATATTTTTCCCATTCTGTGGGCTGTCTCCTCGCTCTCTTGTTGGTTTCTTTTGCTTTGCAGAAGCTTTTCAGTTAGATGAGGTCCCACTTATTTATCTTATCTCTTATGACATGGGCACTTGGGGCTTTGGTCAGGAATTGTTTGCCAGTTCCAATTTCCATAAGGGTGTCTCCTGCATTTTCTAAAATTCGTATAGTTTGAGGCTTTATGTTTAGGTCTTTGATCCATTTAGAGTTAATTTGTGTGTATGGTGATAGGTAGGGTTCCTGTTTCAACCTTCTGCATGTGATCAGCCAGTTTTCCAAGCACCATTTACTGAATAGGTTCTCCTCTTTGCAGTGGTTGTTGTTGGTGGTATTGTCAAAGATGAGTTGGTTGAGAAATTGAGCCTTTACTTCTGGAATCTCTATCCTGTTCCATTGGTCCATATGCCTGTTCTTGTACCAATACTAGGTTGTTTTGATTATTGTAGCCTTATAATAAAGTTTGAAGTTTGGAAGTGTGATACCTCCTGCTTTGTTTCTTTTGCTAAGGCTTGCTTTGGCTATTTGTGGTAGTTAATGTTTCCAGAAGATATATGGGCAGCCGACAGACACATGAAAAAGTGATCAGTCTCACTAATCATCAG